TTTGACAAAGAAAGTTGCCACATACTTGGATTCTTTTGTATAGCACTTTTTAATGAACATGTAAATTTTCTAAAGACTTATTTTACTACTCCCATGGCCTTGCAATTGTAAGTGCTTTATTTGGTGCTCAGAGCATTCGGTACAGATGGTACTGTCAATCAATGACACACCTCAGTGTCTACAAGGAAAATTGTTTCTGAAAGATTCTGTCACTGAAAGCATTTTCTCTTTCTTAGCCTCTATCTCTGCAGTCACTCCATCCCTGGTTTTCTTCATCGGATGTGCGACGGTAATTGAGGCAGTTCCCATGGGTGTGGTGCATTTGGGAACGTTAAGTGCTGTCTCTTGTCACACAGTATTTTTTGTTAAATGGGTCTTTTTTGTCAGTTGTGTGCATTTTTTTCTTCATTGTTCTTTTTTTCATTTATTTATTTATTTATCTTGTTAAAGTGTGCAAGAAGCCCCTAATGGTTGTTTTCCATAAGAGGTTCTCTTCTGTCTCAAGGGGATATGGGCCTGGGAGGGCATCCATTTCACAATGGCCCCTTCACCAGAACACACAGAGCCATGGTGGCTCACCTCCTGAGAAATGGACTGGCTATTGGAGCTGACACCCAGAGACCTAAGCTATTCCTTTGTCCCACTGTTGGTGTCTCTAAGTTGTCAAAAGTGTGTGATTGACAAAGGGTGGCAGAGACACATTCCATGTAGTACAGCAACATAGTAAGAGGTTATAGTAACAGGTTATGGATCTGGAATATTTGGAATATACACCCACTGGCCACTTCATTAGATGCACGTGCTTTGTATCTTGTCCATATTATCAGGTCCTCTTACCATATAGGTGCATTTTGTATTTCTACAATTATGGACTGAAGCCCATCTACTTCTCTACATAGTTTTGCTAGCCCCCTTTACCTAAACCTAAACCTCAACACTCATTAAAGCCCCCGTCAACATGGTTTGAAATGTTAAAATTTTTGTTTTGATAGTAAAGATATAGCACAGCAAAATTGGTTACTAGTGTTATATGCAAGAAATACATATAACAGAGAACAATTTAACAATAGATAAATGTTCCAAAAATTCAGCGCTGCTGCCTTCTCTTAACCCTCTAGGCGTGTTAGATCACAAAATGATTGTCAGTGGTGTTTCCCAGGCAATATAAACAACGTGGCTCCAGTAGCAGTGGGGACTGACACCAACAATTTGTGTGGTGCAGGTCTACACATTTAAGCATCCCTCAAAGAAAAAGACTGTTTTGCTCTTCTTAACCACTCTGTCATTGGTAAGTGCTAAATGTAGAACAAGCTGTCGAATGGTCATCTTAGAGACCACATTTTGCAGATAAGCATTTCATTTAATGACAGGTATATCATGGACACATCTTGTCAGCTTAGCAGCACTAACATTATATGCCTAACCTATGGCTAGCTAGCTAACTGCTGGGCCGCGCTCTTGAAACAGAGATCACACAAGCTCCCACAGTCAGCACAGTCATATTTGCGGACATGGTGGAGAAATTTCTTGTTTGACTCATTGTGCACCATGCCTGTAAAGTACAATTGTACAAATACAAAAGTAGAGGGAAAAACTGTGAGCCTTGATGTTAAGGGGCAGTTAACGTGTTAGCTTTTTCTTCCTACATTTAAGTTACCTATCGCACTTAAGTAAATGAAGATAATTGCTTATAGTGGAATCCAGCAACAAGTGACTTACATAAGTAGGAAGCAGCGTCTAGCTACTAAACAAACAATGATGTAATAAACCTTCTTAATAAGCACCGTTAATAAGCACCGTTAACGTGTAGAAAAAATTAAATAACCTGCTTGCTAGGAGTTTTCGACCACGACTCAGAGTAGGAGAACAGTGACATCATGTGAGAGAGAGCAACGCAAGTAGCTGACGTATACATATTGCTAACTCTGGTTGGTACTTTGGCATCACTTGACATCACTTGCGCCAAATTTTGTCATGCCCAACTCAAATTGAACAGAAGAAAACAGCAGAATTTTTTTTTTTTTAAATCTCTCAACAGCAACTGCATTGTTTCTCATCCCGTTCATAGTAAAACCACATTAACAATGCTAGGTGATAGTTCATCATGAAAAAACTCATGAAAAATCAAGAAAATTAGTAGAGAGGGGCTTTAATAATGCGTAGATCTGTGAATATGCAAATTGTAAACCCCGCCCCTTCCCCCTTACTGTGCACACTGTCTCTATCTGTGTTACAGACTGAACAGACTGAGATGAGGCAGAGCAGAAACAAAAATAAGCTCCCACTCTAACATGAACAATCAGAAAGTGTCAATATCAACATCATGTGCCTTTCATGGCCCCAGCACAGTTGTTTAAATTTCACACAATATTGTGAAACAATTCAATTTTCAAGTCTGATGTGCTGCATAGTTACTTTGACTAAATGACTCTTGTAAGTGGTTAAATAACACAACTCTTTTACATTTTTTAAATATTCTTAAAGTTTTAACTAAATTTGTTAATAACTTCATTCATTATTCATTTTCCTTTTTCATAAAAATATCAAGCTATTAAAACCATGAATCCAGTGAATCCATGAAGTCCAAGAATTGCTTTCCACCCTGTCATCTTGACCTCTGACATCAGCACCGTCACAACCTTCATATTGTTTCATCTTCAATGGACTGAAGACAGCTGCTGCATGTTCAGTAAATGTATAAGTTAATTTTATAACGTAATATTTCTCACATTGTCTCTATACTTAACTGAGGTTTAAAATGCCCACCCTGTTATGGTGAAATACTGAGTTAATTAAAATAATATTAGAATATCAAAATATATCTTTGAAACAAAACAAGATCATCTTGACTATTTCAACATGTCTGCGACTGTAGGACCAACCATGCTTTCATTGACCTACAAATGCTAACTTTAGCTAAAATTGTCCACCCTGTCATTGTCCATGCATCTTGCCATGACAGGTTGGATGCATGCACAATAGCTGGACATATACATGCCTTTTGTTGTTTTCATGTTTTTTAAATAAAATAGTAGGTCTTACTAACTGTTTAAATATTGATGTTTTAAGTGGCAAATTGTTTTTGCAAGGTTTTAAAACAGGTTCACTTTATTTCCTGTAATTCATCACACTGCAACAAAGAGACTTCAACAGTAAGCATGACCAAAACACAGACACATTCAGTCACACACTGTCCCCTGTCAAATATAAGCTTAGGTGTTTATTATGAACACACTGTTAATGAAACTGCTGCCATTTTTGTAAATATGAAATGTTCTTGTTTTCCCTGTCATTTTCATATTTTATTAAAATAAATAGTAATTCTTCACAGGTGAACAAACTGTTATAAGTGATTTACTATACATAACAGTGGTTCAAGTAATTTTATTCCTATTTTTGTGCAAAGATGTTTATTTTTGCTATTGTTTGGAGAAAAAAAAAGGATGTCTGATGCAGATACGGTGAGGAAAGAAACTAATTTTATAACAAAATCCATAACCCATAAACCCCAAAAAATTGAATTGCTGTTGGAAAAGGGGACACAACATATCTTAGAAATAGACCCTATAGTTTCTACAAAACTTTATATATGTAATTTATATATTATATGTTTGTCCACAACAGAGTGGACACAACGTGTGGTTGCGTCAAAAGATGTTGGCTTGCCATTGCAAAATAAAGAGTTTAAGCTTGACACAGATATTTTCTGGGTAGTCTGTTGTTTTATCACTTTGATGAATCTTCAAAAGAATTAAAAATCTTTTTTTCAAATTATCAGGTCCCAATGGCACAGTATGCTGATAATAACCGCAACTGATTTAAACTTAACACTTTACAGGACATGGCAGAAACATTCTCAGCTTTTATTGAGGGTTACTGTAAAGAGGTTTTATTTCAAGTGATTTTGAAGTGATTCTATTTGTTCTTTTATGAAATTTTCACACAATTATGTCGATTTTTTTCAAAAATCCACAAAAATTAAAATACATGTTCTTTTTGGACAGCGATGCTATATAACCAGCCAACCAAAAGAAGATAACCATTTAAAAAACACATTTTTGAGAGCAGGAGGTCTTTAACCAACTCAGTGTTACTGCTGGGCAGATAAGAGTCCACCACCAAAAAATATGCTGTAAATGATCTGTGGCCAGAAACAGACCTCTGATAAAAGACTAGGGCAGGGTTTGGGAACTCTGGTCCTGACTAACACAAACTGTACAGTAGTTGACCTTTCATGTCTGACTTTACACCTACAAGGTGGACCAACAAGCCAGGTGTGTCTAACAGCAGCAGCACTGCTGTGTCTGGTCCACTCGTACCAGTGCAACACACATTAACCACCACGTCTATGTCACTGCAGTTCTGAGAATGATCCACCACCCAAAAAGTACCTGTTCTGTGGAGGCCTTGTGAGAGTCTTCCTGACCTTTCATAAACAGTGTAAAAGGGGACTATTAAATTATGCAGAGAAACAGATAGACTACAATCTGTAATTGCAGAACTACAAAGTGTACCTATACAGTAAGTGGAACTGATAAAAAAGACAAAGAGGGTACACAAGCTACAAGGAAGGTGTATCTAATTAAGTGGCCAATAAGTACAAACATTTCAGTAAATTTATAAGCAGGGCGCTGTCTGCCTGTCTGTGTGTAGTTTTTACATAAAGTCTATTCTGTACTACGACATGCACGTGGTCTATTTAACTTTGCTTCACAATTCGTCGTTTTAGGTTCAAATTTGAAGTGAAATCTTATTTTAGCTTGCTGTTAAAATCACTGCAAATCATACAAAGACTTTTTCCACGAACCAAAATGTAATTTTCCCTTTAAACTTAACATTCTCGCAAATAAGCAGGTGTCGAGAAACTTATTTTATTAAACTCTTGCTATTTTTTTTAATACAAATGACTAAATGACAAGCTTACAAGTTCAACCAACTAGCCAAGCTGCTACCTTACGCAATGCACGTAAGTGACGTTTCTGGTTCATCTCCGTAGTAACCTGTCTGTCCGGCCCACAGTGAGACTCCACCGCAGCCTCAAGTACTTTTTGAGAGTTCAAGGTTTTGCTTTCGTGACAGCTCGGCTGGCACAAACGCTGGATAGAAAAGGGCTGGAAGACGTGTTACCGCGACGGAAAGCCTCGTCATTAACGACAAGATGTTGAACATGTGGAAAGTTAGAGAACTGGTTGATAAAGCGTAAGTATTGTTCGTGTTTTTGTCGACATTCCGCGCTCGCTACTTGTTCTAAACCTGTTCCTGTTCGACTAGAGACACGTCCTCACTCTCCGACGTCACCGCCACACTCTTTTCAGAGTAGCTAGCTCGTTAGCCGACGCTAGCTAATCACAACAAGTTTACTGGCTAATTTAGCTACTTAGCTGACCGGCTGTTTGGGTATAGTTGACCTTCTCAGTTGACGAAATTGTTGGCAGCCAGGTCTTCGGTGCTCATATAGCCCGTATATTAATGTTTTAGAAAAGAATTCTCAAGTAGAAAGTCGTTCACGTAAAACATTAACCCCAACGTTAACATTAGCTAAATAGCTAGCTGCTTAGCTAGCTAGTATCGCTACTGGCTATAATAATTCATCCAGTCCAGAGAAGTTAGCACGCTAGCTGAGAGTTTTGAAAGTACTTTCTGACCAAAATTGTAGACGGCTATTAACGTCCATACAGACAGACGCTTCATTATGTGGGGTTATTGCGAATGTTTTAGGCGAAATTGTAGCTAATAAATGGCAAATTTAGATATTCTCAGGGAGTTTTAAAAGTACAGTTTTGACAGCGACTCGTTTGACATTTAACGTTAGCTGACTTTATATTAGCACTGCTAACATGACACAGTGCTAGTCTTTATCAAGTTTCTGTGTGGGCCAAGTCAGTGGTTAATCGATTACTTAGCTACAGCGTCTGTTTATCTTAAATGTTATGAAGTTACATATAAATGTTAGCTGGCTAAGTAAGTTGTGTTTTCTGGTGTACGTTTACACTGTAGGTTAAGTTTTTAACATTTAGCAACTTGTTCAGCGCAGGTATGAGTTAATAAGAGTAGCTTAAATAGCCTGTTCGTGTTGTTAAAAGTTCCCATTGTGGATGCTGTTGGACTTTTTGTCATCTAACTTAATAATTTCTTTCTCAGTTACGTCAACCATATATGGTAGTGATGGTTAGATACCTGTAGTGTTTGTGTCATTTGCGAACATAACAAAACTGCCTCTTTCATTGGGAGGCCTGTGGACATGGCCTACTTTGTTCAGTTCTTAACAACGAAGAAAGCTTGTTAGGATGCAAAGTAAATGCCCCCGTTTGTCTTCAGTTAAAAAAGCATTTTATTTTCAGTGAAACTGACCTGAGATTCCTTTGAGCTAGAGCTACTGTAGGTCTGTTTCTGAAGAAAAATGTTCAGTTTGGGGAATTCCAAGTCATTCAGAGTAACCTGACCTTATACTCAGAAACTTGTTTTATTCACCATTTGGACCACAAGATAAAAACTTGCCTGAGAAAAACAGAACTTTTGTAGAGATTTCTGAGTCTAACTCTCTGAAATGCTTTGTGATAATGCCTGAATTTTTCAGGTCTCAAGCATGAGATGTGAGCGTTGAAGAGGATATTGCATAATGCCAACGCAAGCTAAGCAGGTTGCTTTGACGTTGTCATTTATATTTTTCTTATGATGGTTTTGTAAAGGGACTTTCACTATCATTTTTTCCAGGACTCAGGATACAGTTTGGTAATAGCAATAGCCTGTAATAATAACAGTATTTAATTATTTCACAAAAAGTATTAAGGAATTACCTAACAGTAATAATAATTCAATAATAAATCATTCAGTGTTTCTTCTTTTAATGGAAGAGTTTAATAAAGTGTGGAATAATTTCTTTTTAATATGGTGCTCAGTAATAAACCTCTGTTTTCCTGAGTGTTCAAATACTATTGCACAACAAATTGTCGTGCTGTTCAGTGTTTTTCTAGTATTCCTTGGTCAGGGTCTCCTGATTTATGTAGACGGTGAAACGTCTATTTCAGTTTGTGTTCTCAGCCTGTGGTCAGCCATGTTGGCAGAGTCAGTTTAGAGAAGTGAAGGAATTTAATTTTGTTCCCCAAAGTTCTCTCCTGATCTGTTCCCTGCAGTTTGACCTTTTACAACTTGGTATTCCCAGTTTGTCAAGCATAATTCAAGAGTGCCTGGGTCCACTTGTACTAAAGGAAAAAATTACATAATAAAACGTTTTTAGACCATTCTGGTATTGTCTGTTACAAAAAGGATTCTAAGGGTTGCTCTACGTATGTTTGTATGGTACATGAACATAAACAGCAGATACCGAATGAGTAGTGACTCTAGAGACCAACACAGTTCTCATGAAAACCTGCAGCACATAGCAGGAAGTGCAGAAAGTGCAACACATATCATTGCAACTGATCTTTGTTGAGGAGAAATGGCCAATATGGAGAAAAATGCCCTGCTTTTGGAAAGATGAAATAGCTGCACCTTATGTTTGCGGATAAGTAGAATATTTCTGATTTTCTTTTTTTAACCAGCATTTTTACATAAAATCTAGTTAAATTTTCCTTGGTGCTTGTGGGTGTGATGTGTGTGATTACTCATTTTCAGGTGTCAGCTATTTGTTGCCTCTGTTGTGCTGAAATGTGATTGAGGTTGTTGGTAATTTTTTTTCTGCTTAGTAGAAAGTGTAGCAGATTGTATGGGGATTTTAATGTTCGTGGTAGCCTATTTACTTTGTTATTTGATCTTAAGTAATTTTCATATTATACTACATTTTCATAACACTTTTTTTTTTTGTAATGTAAGAGGTAAAGTATTGTTTATAGGAATGCATTAATAAAACACCGGCTCACCAGTCTGTCCAAAACCAGTTTGGATACAGCACACAATAAAATATTTTGTAATATGTCAGTGTGCTCATTTGTACATTGCTGTCTTCTGCAGTATCAGCATTGCAGAGACTAATCTTGTGGTAAAAATTCACAACTGATATATTGTAAAATATGTGCATAGTGTTTGCACATATAACTCTGTATGTTTAGACCTTATACTATCTCTCTTCTCTTAGAGGAGCCGAACATTAAAAATAAAAAAACTTACAATGAGCTACATGGAGTGAAGTTTCATGGAACACTTGTTTGATCCACCCTTTACACTCAATGGGACCGTTTGGTCTAAATTTTCTGCACCCCACCCAGTTACTGAGCTCTTTTGTGTCTTGCACAATTAGACTGTTTTTTTGTCTGTCATTTCAGTCCCTGTAGTGCAAAACAGGTTTCACGTATTACTAGTGGACCTGCCCTTGTGACCAGCTGCCTGAATTATTTGAATAAATGCTTGATTGTACTGATACTTTTTTTAAGAGTTATCATTTGAATATTGTGGTATTCCTCCTTTAGCTTTACCATGAGAGCTTGGTCATTAAACAGGCCTACTTGTGTGCTGTCTAAGGCCTAATTATTACAGGATGCAACTGAATTGAAGCTTGTTAATATTATGAAGCTGCTTGTTTTTGAATAGCTTTCAAAAAGTGTCATTGAATTTTCATTTGTCCTATTTGTTTTACAGAACCAATGTTGTCATGAACTATTCAGAAGTTGAATCTAAGGTTAGAGAGGCCACAAATGATGACCCGTGGGGACCCTCAGGCCAACTAATGGGAGAGATAGCCAAGTAAGTGATTTTAAAGGCTGCACACTCACTGCTGGTGTAAAAGGATATTCTGCTTTCTCATGTTTTCTTTCTGCATGTTATTCTTGGATGAGCTCTGTGCTTCATTTTCGTCTGCTATACTTCTGATTTTGTTACCCCTTAGAGCCACTTTTATGTATGAGCAGTTTCCAGAAGTGATGAACATGCTGTGGTACCGAATGCTCAAAGACAACAAGAAAAACTGGAGAAGAGTTTACAAGGTAAATATTGTGACTGAAACTTCTTTAGCAAAGTGAAATTAAGGAAGTATGATATTTAGAATTGTGAACTGCATCGCACTGTTTTCTCAGTCTTTGCTGCTGCTGGCTTACCTGGTCCGAAATGGATCTGAGCGGGTGGTCACCAGTGCGAGAGAGCACCTGTATGACCTGCGCTCCATTGAGAGCTATCACTTCGTAGGTGAGTCAGCAGTACTGAGTGAGTATGAATGAGTAACTCATTCTTCAGTCGTAAGATCTGTCAGATACCTTCTGTGACCAATTCTACATGTTTTTCAGCATATACAATATATTATGCACTCTAGCTTTGTAGTCTTTATAGCCCCAAGCCCATGGTCACATTAAGACACTGTAAATGATGTAACTTGTGTGTTTTCCAGTGGTACAGTGTTGTAGCAAGCACTCAAATGTCAGGTCTGTTTAGGAGTCAGACAATGGTCTCAGTGTTGCAGTACTGATAAAGGGACTAAGGCTTACCCAGGACCCCAAAGCTGCTTTGCAGCCTAACTAGTTACCATGGTTACCACAGTCTCAGCTTGGTGTCAATGGTGCATTTAAATGTGCTGCAGTAATTTCAGTTTTAGGGCAAATTTAAAAGAAACGTCTGTTGTTAATTTGTAATATATTTTCACTTAATTTGGTCCCATTATATTGTTTTGTTGCTTTGTCCAGATGTTGTTCTGAACAGCTGAAGTGTGTTTGCACAGACTGATAAAAGTAAGTAATTTTTTGCTGCTATTTGGCAGATGAGAATGGAAAAGACCAAGGCATCAATGTGCGGCAGAAGGTGAAAGAGATGGTGGAGTTTGTACAGGACGATGACCGACTCAGAGAGGAGAGGAAGAAGGCCAAGAAAAACAGGGACAAATACATTGGTGTGTCCTCTGATAGCATGGGGGGCTTCAGATATGGTGGGTCCCGCTCTCAGAAATGCCTTTCCCTCTTTTCCTCGCTCGCTCTTTCTCCATAACTCTTATCCTAATGCTCAGCAGTGACTCTGTCATCACATCTGTAGCTCAATGCATAGTTGGATGTGCTGAGAATGGGGAGTTGTTTATCATGTCTGCTTCCATGGGGTTCCTCTGTCTCCTTTGTTCTTCGATTCTCACTCCCTCCCAGGAGGTTTGCATTGCCAGATGACTGAGCTCTGGGTTTATTTTGATATCCAGTAGGACTTCTTTTTTCTCACCACATGACAGCATAGATTAGATTCATGTTTTTGATTGAGAGGAAAAAAAATGCCTCCTTTTTTTTTTTTGTAATATTTTGAAATAGCTTTTGTTTCAAATATGTGTGCTATCCATTTTATGAAGGGATCTGAAAACCCCCTTGCTGTTTCATTAGTATGAAGAACAATAGAACTCATTGGTGATCTATAGTGTGTAAGCATCAGGATCTTATGATTCATCATCCTTCATTGTTTTGTACATTGATCTGTTTTTGTGATATGTGTCAGTACAACTAATTAAACATCTTTCATTCGTTATTTCAGTGATTACATTAATCATTTGAATAATTTAAGAGTATTTCATGTGAAAACACCTAAAAAATAAAATATATATATATATATATATATATATATATATATATATATATATATATTATTTAAACAGGCAAAATTCAGGTCTTCCATAAATTGTTCCTCATTTAGGGATCAGAACTTTCTACATCTTGAGTGGTTTTTAGTCTAGAACCCTCTGTTCTGCTCTGCCTGAAACCTATCCTTATGTATTTCCTGTTTGAGCGGTGGTTAGTGATTCACAATCCATATAACCACACCAAAACACTTTATAGGCTATAGTTAAAGATTCAAAATGAATGTCTCAATTATTACAGTTCAGGATGGTAACACCAATTTCACTTGTTCTAAATTTTGAGAATGGAGTTTGATGTTTGCCAGTGAATATGTCTGATGGCATATCGCTCTCTTCATTTTACATCTGCTCAAGCAGGAGACAAGTTTGACTCACGCTCAAAGTGGGACGATGACTGGGAAGGCAATAAAGGGGCTTTCCCCTTCAGTGAGAAACTGGGAGAGATCAGTGACAAGATCGGCAGCACCATCGACGACACAATCAACAAGTTCCGCAAGAAAGACAGAGATGACTCGCCAGACAGATTCAGGTTAGTGCCCCAGGCTGTTTCACCCCCTCCCCTTCTCTCCGCTCAGGTCATACAATCCTGCAGTAACTTCACAAACCATTTCTTGATCTCCTATTAAACACAAAAGCAGAACAGAAGTGAGTGAGCCAGAGTGGGCTATGGTCTTCAGAATGGATATAGAAATGATTTCCAGGGACCTTCTGCTCTGCACATTTCAAAGTTAGTGGGTGCATAAAGTTAAAACTCTTCACCTTTTCATGACTTCAGGACTTGTCTAGCAGGACTGTTAATTATGGCCACTGTATGAAGCAAATTTGGCTTATAGTACACACAGGTGTGCACAGAAACTCTTACCCAACCATTTCTCTCCTTTCAGTGAGAATGAGGAGGACAGGCAAGGGGCACGGAATGGGCAATCTGGCAAGACTGAGTTCAAAGACGAAGAGGAGACAGTGACAACCAAAAGTGTTCAGATCGTTCAGGCCACAGAGACCACTGCCACTCGAAAGCGAGGGGGCATCCCCTCAAAAACCATAGACCTGGGGGCAGCCGCCCATTACACCGGAGATAAGTCTGCCACTAATGTAAACAGCAGCAAGGTAATAAAACCCCTAGAGAGTCATAATGATGCGGTCCAATTCTCAGACAAATAAACCAACTAAGTTAGCAGTTAGCTAACATTAGCAAGCTAAAGTTATCTAATAAAATGCCCAGCTGCTTTTATAATATTTTGGAATCATTAGCTGCTTGTAGCAAATAGCCTAACACAGTTAAAATTATGTAAAAATGCAGTTATTGAAGGACAGAGACATCCCACTATTTGAAATTTTTCTGGCCTCCCCCTTCCATAAGTGTGACATCCTGTGAGTGCAAACAGTGTGCCACACTTACAAGTACATCATCAGAGAATTAACAGTACATTACATCCCATTTCATTTGCCAGTGGGAACACACTGCTTGCACTAAAATGGATAGTGCACTGTGGAAGTAATCAAATTGACACACTGGGTGAGAGGAAATGTTTGATCATTATGAGCCAAAATTTTACTCGTATGATTTGTGTAGAGCCATCTAGTGGTCACTATAGGAAGTGTATTTCATCATGCTCTCTTTCTTTTGCCTCAGACAACTGACTCAGGTGCCAGCCAACCCAGTGGTGGTCTTGTGGACTTGTTCATGGCAGATCCTGTACCTACACAGCCTGTCTCTACAGGTGATTAGAGCCTCATTAATTCCTTTCAGCATGCCTTTCATAGAAGTGATAAACTTCCCACCGGAAGAAGTTGTAAATCAAATAGCATAGGCTTGCAGTTGATGTAATGAAGTCCCATTAAATCCCAAATTTCACACGCAGGAAGATTTCTTTGTGTTTTGTGGTGCTACTTACTTGTCTTTCCCTGCCTTATTTAGAATGTATCAATTGGTGATCTGGTTAGAGCAAAGCTTTATTGTCTAGCAGCTTACTTTCGTGATCCAATACTAAAGTGAAGGAAAAGTGATGAGAAGGATGACTCAGAGGTTGAGAAGATAAATGAAGGTGGCAAAAGAGTTTAAGAGCCCCTTGCCATTAGCATGGCCTTGTGGTTTCTAGGGCCTTGGAGAGTGAGGGTACCAGACGAGGAGGGGTGGAGCACACTGTGTTAAAGTGCAGCAGATGGGCTCTCCTGTAGCCCCTGTCTGCTGCTGGAGCATTTAGCTGCTGGGGCCAGATGTTAAAGTGGTCCCAAGTGGGAGTGGAGTGCTGAGCAGATGTGTGGCTCTATCTCTCTCTTTTTCTCTCTCCCTCCCTCACCTCTTTTCTTCACCTTCACCAGTCAGACAGCTGCTTCTACCCCCCACTATTAGTCTTCTAACCACAGGGCACTGGAATTCAGAGGAAAAGTGTGCATGTTGCTATTTGCTACAGAGTGATATCTAATTTTAGAATGCAGTTCAGGGCCTGTCAGCTTTTGCATGCAAACATAACGAAAAAGCAAACTTCTCATCTTTCCCTCCCCCATTTCCCTTCTGCAGGTTTAAGCTCAGACCTAATTGGAGGCTTTGCTGATTTCTCTTCACCTGCAGCTACAGCCAGTCTTCCTTCAACAACTGGTATGTGTGCATGACCACTATCTCAAAGCATGTTAATGTCAAAGACCTGACAAAAATATATAATTTCTGTTGTAATAACCAATTCAGCATTCGGCAATTCTGAGAGAAATACAAAATTTCCTGGGTTATATGGCTCATAATTTAATAATATTATAAAGAATAGAGCCATCATGCTATAAAAGCCTTTTTACTATAAAAAGCCATCTAATTTAGACACAGAATTTAACCCTTGCGTGGTGTTGATGTTTTTGTTACTCAGTGGTCTGGTGGATCCACTGCATTATTGGTGTTTTAAATCAATACAGCCATAACAATTTATGTAAAAATACTAGATGATTAAAATATCACAAGTGATCAGCATAAAGTTCTCCTTTAGCAGCTGTATCCAGTCTGCAGCCTGTCTATGTTGTCCACCCTCACACACACACACACATGTACAAACACACATACACACGCACAGAGACACTCACACACTTACAGCAGGCCATGTAGGAGGAGAACAGAGTAAGGGGGCACAGCACCTCCACACTTTCATTCCCTGCAGGTTAACCCGAACACCACATGTGTAATATAAATGTGTAGGGGGTGTACAGTGTCATCAAAGGCCAAGGAATCCGGTGTTGAAATATTAATTAAGTACATAATTTTTTCTTTGGGTCAACAGTGAAAATGGGTCCCACAGACCCGAACACCCCATAAGGGTTAAGTATGTGATAACTAGTTTACAATGAATTAGAAAGAGAAACAGTTGATTGTCTTAATTATTTGGCAAAATACAGTTTAGATACATACAGTCATGTGCGAAAGTCTGAGAACTTCGAGTCAAAACAGAAAGTTACTAATTTTTCAGAAAACAGTTCTGTGGAGGTTAGATATAGGATAATCCGCATGTATAAGGAAGGGGAAATTCAAAGGAAAATAAGTTTAAAAATGCAACCAACTTTTAAGACTGAACTTTGGAAGTGTGGAAAAAGAGTGAAAGCTATAATAAGGCTATACTCACTAAATACTGAACATTTAGATATTTTATTTTGTTGATGAAGCCTCTATGCATTTTCAGCTATAAGCAGAAAACGCAAAAAGAGATCAGAGGGCCAGACTTTTCTTATTCCTGGTCCTATTTCCGACTCTGGCTATTTTGAGAGAGTGACGTTAATGTAACAGAAGGCTGTTAGCATTTGCAGCAGGGCCCAGAGCCTGTTGTCCTCATCTGCCTGTTTATGAAAAGCAGAGAGCATAAAGCTTTTAAATATTGAAAAGGAAAGTGAGGGCAAGCCATATGGTTGAGCTCTGTGCTAAAGCTAATGAGGACAGACACATTTCATCTCGTGTTGGGCATAACACATCTCCCTCTGTCTGTGTGGGAGAATAGAAAACGAAATGGACAGAGTCTGCAAACGCTTCTTCTTACCATTGCTGTTTGTGTCCCATACTCCTTTCAAGCATACTTTGTTTGTGACCATTTTATTTATGGATGTTACGAGGTAGTTAATGAGTGAAGCACTTTGATGCGGTATTAAAAGGTTAACACATGATTTGGGTTACTTTTCTGTCCAACCCAATATCCCTTTTTTCACTTCAATGTGTTCATTCAAAACACTTGTTTTGTTTTAGCCTCAGCATCCAGTGGTAATGGGGAATTTGGGGACTGGAATGCTTTCTCAGGAGCACAGCCCGCTGCACCTGCTGCTACGCCTGCAGGGACAGAACTGTTTGCAGGCCTGCAGACTGCCCCTGTTTCTGCCTCTGCTGCACCCTCTGCAGACCTCTTCGACCTCATGGGCCCATCTGTCACCACCAACATCAGTGCGTCCCAAAGTATGAACTTCTCCATGATCAGCACTCCGAACACGGGACTGCCCATGTCCAAATCTCAGGTGACTGTCACTTCTGTCCACTGTCCTGCAACCCTGCCCATTAATGAATATGTCTGGAGCAGGTGCGCCCAATCCTGGTTCTTCAGATCTAACATATCTGTCTCAAATATTCAGATGCCCTTGAAGGCCTTCATTACTCGGATCAGTGGTGTTAGATTAGGATTGGAGCTAAACTTTACAGGGTAATAGATGAGATGTCCAGGACCAGGATTGGACTGTCTTAGAATTTAGTAGTCTCCTTCATTGCATATGTAAATTTGTTATTGAAATTGAGTGGTAATCCTTTAATAACTGTATCTTCTAGAAAGTTATAGCTAACCTGTACTTAACATTAGGAGAGGTTTTGCTAGGCACAGTGAGTAGTACACATTTCTTTGCTTGGTACGCTATCATAACTCGTTTCAGAATAACTCTTTACATTATCTCTGTCCATCACCTTGTGTGCATAAGTCACATAAGCGTGTATGGGGGGAAAAATTGATGTATTCATGTAGTTGCATCTGAACCCCCATCTGTAAATGAAAGTAACATAATTAGAGTTGCAATGCACATAATTTACTGAGGGAAAGACAACACTTGCTGAGATTTCAAGTCAGCAGTTTAGAGAGCAGGAGAACATGAAAGTGAGACAAGCGAGGGTTAACATGCAGCACTGCCACAATTTCCACCCACCCCCCTCCACATTACCCGTCAACCCTTGCCCCCTGGGACACCCATCACAGAGAATGGCAGAATGAGGGGGAACAAGTTTGAGTCAGAAAACCATTAAATTGAAAAAAAACCTTGTGCAAAGATGATATTTGCATGCTAAAAAGCTGACCTAGTTTAAAACAGCAAGATTTGTTTGGCTGAAGAAAAAAGTTATGCCCTACCGCCCCATTCTGACTAATTAGAGGGGATCAAGATGCATTTTAACATGGTTTCGTAATTTTAGGGAAGTCAAAAGCTCCTTAACCAATTTTATTATAAGTCAAAACACTGACCTTTGTCTTTGTCCAGTTTTTTAATTATTCTTGCTTCAGAGAAAAGGAATTACTATTTGCAGTGGTAAATTTCATTAGCAGTAATACACTGCTCCATATAAAGCCCTTCAAATTACAGCAGTGTTTCTGGTGCAGTTAGAAAAGAATTTGGATATAGAACATTTCATGCATCAATATGGGGTATCTGGATTAGAGTTCACTCCTCAGTAACTGCTTTGCACTTCTCTGTTTTTGGTTCCAGCCTCTACAGAGTATGGGGACTCCACTGGTACCCCAGCAGCCTGAGGTCCAAAAGCAAGAAGCCAAGCCTCCCATTCCCTCCACCTGGTCTGATTCCAACGTCAATATTAGCCTGGACTACCTGGGCCCCGGCATGCAGCCTCCCAAGCCATCTCAGCCCACGCTCAACATGATGCAGCAGCAAGGTGTGCACTGAATACAAGCACAGCTGTGTGCTTGGTAGACAGAATGCAGTAGATTTGATATGAAAACGCCTCTATGCATTAAGTTTATGTTTTGGACTAATATGATTTATTTAAAGCACTTTTTGGTAACTACAGCAGAAGTCTAAAGGGATTTCACTAAGGGGACATGTAATGCTGACTCAAACTTTAAGAGCAACATCAGGCCATTTACAGTACTGTGTATGTATTCTACGCTCTGGGAGTTAGTTTGATAATCTTTATCTCATGTTGTCCTCTAGGAGTCCCAGTCAATATGATGACGCAGAGCTTTGCTGGCATGAACCTCGGCATGCAGCCCAGCCAAGCCCCCATCCGACCCCTCACCAACCCCATGATGGGAAACATGGGCATGCAGTCTGGCCTTGCGGGAGGTGCTATGGGTATGGCTACCATGGGAGGCATGCCACTCAGTCAAGGCATGATGGGAATGAACATGAACGTGGGCATGCCTACAGCCAGCATGGGAATGCAAGGCACCATGGGGATGGGGATGTCAGTGCCAGTAATGGGTATGAGCTCTTCCATGGTACCACCGAAACAAGACGCCTTTGCTGATTTTGCCAAATTTGGGAAATGAACAGAAGAGCCAGAGCCTGTGTGCTAGGACAATCTTTTCGGAAGGTGTGACTATGAAGGATTCCTTATGAGCTACAAACAAAGAGTACTTGAAAGATGTCGATTACGGCCACCCACACTTCCTTGTTCCTCAAACAATAGTAGAAAGGTTAATATGCTATGCTCTTATCAGTCTGGCCAAGGAGCCACAATGAGAGTGGCAGGTTTGTTTTTTGTATAAATAATTAGTGATTACACAGGTTTCTTCCACTTTGAATATGACATTGCTTTAAATCTCAGAATGGCATAAAAGAATGTGATGACAATGAGTAGCCTTAGTCAACTATATACTTATCCCATTTTCTCTCCTTAATTTTAATATAAGCCCAGGCTATTAGACTCTTTAGGTTTGGGTGATCTTATCAGAAGTTATCCTGTGTCCTTGTCCATCTTATACAGATTAACTTGTACCTTGTAAATATTGTTGCAAACAGACAATAAGTTATTTAAATGCAAGATTATTAATGAATAATATTAATAATGAGGCCTTCTGACTGATTTGAATCAGTGCTGCCCGGTGGCGAGGCTGTTTGCTGTTTCATCTTTATACTTGTCAAAATATCCACACCGATGTGCTGTGAAGTAGTTTTGATCTGCGAAAAAGAATGAGTGGAAAATCGGACAAGAGCAACCAGCATGGCCTTAGGGATGGATATATTTTTTATAGAAATCTGTTTTACATCTATATGTAAATGTATGTCAGTTGAGCGCAGAGGCTGCGGTCATTCAGTGTCCTTACACACACGGTGCCTATCAACTTGCCTGTATCTTTTTCGCTTAAAGATTTCTTACCTAAGACAATATGAGAATACAGTATTTATTACAGGTACTGTAGAATATCCAGTGGTGTATATGTGTGCACACTTTTATTATTTATGTTTGTCCCCTCATTTTCAGTGCATGGCTAATTTATATGGTGGTGACTATAATGTTTTGTTTTTTTTGTAGTAAACTAGGTCATGGTGAGTGATTTATATGAGACTGTCCTAAACAGAATGAGGTTTGCCATGCCATACTGATCTGCTCTGAGAGTGGAATGTCATATCATTAGGACCATCACTGTGTTGTCAGGAGCATCTGTTTCTTCTTCACTTTGCACTGACTTTAATTACTAAAGCCTTCCATGCCATTCAGAAGCATTATATACACACACATGCACACACAAACAAATGACCAAATTCTGCCTTTTGTGCTCTTCTTTTTGTAAGGGACTGTTTGTTTTTCCTAGTCAGTATGTATGTTTGGTAGTGGTGATGTATGAGGGGTTATGGATCGTTACTGAGAAACACTATACTTTTATGCAAATCTAAAACAACCAACAAAACGTCCCTCCTTTCTAAGTGTATGTCTTCAGATTCATACACTGACTTGATTGTACCCATCATGATCTTTTATGTAAAACATATTAAAGAGTTGATTTTCATTTGGTGTTTGGAGTCTTCTATAGTTCTCTTCTTAACAATAGCTGCTCATACCACAGCAGGCTTAAAAATGGATTGCAAGTAATGCAGTCTTTCTTCTTCCTTAAAGGAGAATTTCAACAATTCTTCAAAAATTTCTGTGTAATAAAACCAACAATCCTTTCATAGCAAAGAGGTACATGGAGAGTGTTTAAGGCAAAATGGTACCCAAGGAAAACCTTTTTTTTTTCAGGTTTACTACTTTTTCAGGTGGAACTTTATTCTGAGTGGTCCTTTTAAAGTGAAATAAACACTCAACAGACTTAGTGATGTCAAAAACATACGAGGGTTCAGATTAGGTTTTGGGTTGAGGTTAAGGTTCAGTTTAGGATTAGGGCCAGGGTTAGGGTTAGGTTTTGCATAATGGAAGTAACATTAACAATACATATACTTAAAGTAAGTAATGTATCAACAGTACATCTACAAGATATTTACTTCCATGTATTCAAATGCTGCACTACTGCTACTTCACTGATATGTTGTTGATGTGTTACTAATAATCTGTAAAGGGTTCATTAATCATCTAAAAGAACCGCTCCAAATAAAGCGTTACCCTATTTTATCATTATCATTTATCAATGGACATCAATGGCAACCTACTAGTAAAAGGATTTTGTCTATTTTTAATCATAAAGTCTTTTACTTGGGTTATTCTACATTTTATCAGTATTGGACACCACGTTTTGAGGCTTACATCTCTTAACAGTCAGGGTGCCCTTTAATTCTGCTTAGTGTGAAGAGAAAAGCAACATGCACCTTTTTCATTGTTACCTTTCCCAGTAACCATATTTAAGAGGTCTAAAATCTATGGGAAGTTGATTTTGGTAAACATGGAACAATAATCGTTTCATTAACAGAGCAAATTGCCTGCATGCCTGCATGAGACATTCACTTATCTGTTGACTTTTTTTTTTTTCATGCTAAAATATGGTCATTATAGTTACTCATATCAAAACGACACTAGGCCATGGGCTTCGTCTACCTGAGGTAGTAGTTAATGCTGAAGATGCTGTGCACGACTTCTTTGCGCCAAGATGCAGTGGAAGGAGAGTCAGTGCCAGTTCAGGAGAGTCTCCATCTGGCCACATGTGCATTCCCATAGCCAAGGCCAGCTGGTCAGCTCATGAATATGCAGAACACAGAGCCACTCATGAATAAAGAGCAGTTGTAAGAAGGCAGAGCTTTTCACTACGCTGAGCTAAGGAGAACTGTGAATTAAAAAAAAAAAAAAGCTGTCAAAAGCCTTAAACGTCTAACACCCAAAACAGATTTTCCTTTACCTCAACTCTTTTGATAAATTTCAAAACTAGGATCAATACATAAATGTTTCAATTTCAATAATAACTGTAATACACCACTGGAGCTTGAGTAGAATCCAGTCTTACAGAAATGCTAGACTTGTGCTTGTTGAACATTATTAGAAATGCCTACCTTTTAAAAGTACACACTGCTGATGTAAAGACCGTACCCCATCTGTTGATGCACAATTTGTTAGCCATCCTCTAGACCAGTGGTCACCAATATTATTCAGGACAACCAATCAGGAGCACACCTCATATAACTCAATTGTTTGAAGACTGAAATCAGCTGATGAATCAAGAGGAATCAGATGTGCTTCTGCTTGATTAGAATGAAAACCCGCAGCCACACCGGCTCTTTGTGGAGAAGACTGTGGACCTGTGTCCAGACACTTTGTGGTCAGCTTTTAACCACAGAACCAGTTCTGGCTGAATATTTTTAGGTGGTAAACCACTCTCAGTAGTGATTCTGATGTGTGTAACAAACTACAGCCACACCACTGTGCCTGACACTACTACAATATCAGTATCACCCACCCAAATGATTATTACCATCAGTTGTGTGGTCAGAAACTGATCGATGTTGAATGCAGTAGAGGGTAGCTAATCAATTGTGCATGAACTTAACTACTCCTGCAATTTGGACCCAACCCTAAAAAAAAAAAATGAAAAAAAAACAAAAAAAAACATATATATAATGTGGAAAGGTTCCACTACTCAAAAACATTAAGGACAACAAACAGTAAAGCTTAATTGATCTCACAATGTACTCAAATGGATTTTAGATGTACGCATTCACAGTACATTCACAAGAAACTTTTAGTCTAAAATTAGAAAGCAGGAGAAAATGGGTTTTTAAGAATTCCATGAGCCGAAGTAAGTAGTGTGTTTATGGCTAATGTACGCATTAAAGAATAATCGCAATCAAAAGCATCAGGACAATAACAGCCTCTGAGTGCCATGTGCAATTTCCAACTTCAAAAGCTCAATTATTCATGCTGTGTTTTTAAGAAATCCACAGAGACCCAACTGTCATTTCTAACTGACAAAGAAAGAGACATACCACTAACAGGGCATCCATGTTTCCTCTGCTCTCCCAATTTAGTGAGTTTGAAATGAAAATAAGAGCATTTTTAATGATGTATACTTACGTTTTAGAAATGGCAACTCTTCGTTTTTCTAACATTCCTCTGTTCTATGCACATCACTGTCAGAAATTATGCTTTTGTTAAAAAAGTTTCGGAATCAAAATCAACCTTGGTGTAGTGGACCTCTCAGTCTTCAAGTAAAAAGGAGCAGCATGTATTAACAAGCCAGTTAATAATTATTTGATTCAATGAAGGACAAGCAAAATATCACTAGAGCATTAGTGGCATGCCGCCATCTAGTGGACACTAAGTTAGTGCTTTCTAAGCACTAAGCTTATCTTTTTCAATTGTGATACCACAGCAGTGTACAAATAACTGTAAGCAAATAACTGACTGCAAAGAACTATGAGTTTAATTCAGCTTTACTTTCCCCACCTCTACAAGGAGCTCTACATACATATCAATATGACACAACATGACACATAAGTGTGATTTGCTGCCAGCCTTTACACATGCTCTTCGAATCAGAAACGATGATCATTTCATAAAACTGATAAGAATGAGATTTCATTACTCTTGCTGAACGTTCACAAGGAGGACATTTTCTCCCCGGATAAAAAGCTGATTGACATGACGTGTCCGCATTCTTCCATACTCCACTTTTGGCTTGGGAACTTTGGGTCTCTGCTCTGAGCCAGCGTCAGGTCCACTATCTGCTGGGCCCTTCCCACACAGCGGCTGTCTTTGGCCTCGACTGCTTCTGATGCTGCTTCTGGTGGTGTAGTGAGGCTCGCTGCTCTGGTCAGCTGGTGTTGAGGTGTTAGCTGCTGCTGTTTTTCCAGAGTTTTTCTGTCCAGTGCTGAGCTCCTGGCCCTCTTGTACTTGTAACTTTTGAAAGAGCTGTAAGCAAAATGGTTCAATAATGTGGTGTCATTTCAGCATATGCTAAAAATAAATCAGATTTCACGTTACTCTTCAAAAACAAAATATTTTCTCAAAGATTAAAGGTTAAATGTACAACTCAGTTTCCAAAAAAGTTGGGACGCTGTGCAAAATGTAAATAAAAACAGAATGCAATGCAAATCATTTACACCCTGCACTTAAATGAAAACTGTGCAAAGATAACAAATCAGAACTTGAAACTTTGATTAAATTTTGATTAATTTTGATGCCAGCAAGATGTTTCAAATAAGTTGGGACAGGGGCAACAAAAGACTGGTAAAGTTGTATAATGCTTAAAAAAACAAACAAAAAAAACACCTGGTGGAACATCTCACAACTAATCACATTAACTAGCATCAGGTCATTAACATGATTGGGTATAAAAAGGGACAAAGAGGTTAACGACAAAGCTTCCCCACATAAGCATCACTAATCTCCTATTTACGTGTCCAACAGGTTTGCCCCACTCAGTGAGACACCCTCCGAGATGCCTGTTGAAAGAGCTCTGGTTATAGGTGAAAATAGCTTCTCCTTTAGGGGTGCCAGTAGCAGTTAGTTGTATACTGGGAGCCAGGGCGACAAACATTAGAGGCAACCGTGAAACTGCTAGCTAGCTGTAGATATTCTAGGATTGTCATTCACATAGGTACTAATCATGTTCATCTGTGGCAGCCAGAAACAACTAAAGACAACATTAAAGTTGTGCAAATTAGCCCGGACAATGTCCGATGCAGTCATATGCTCTGGCCCCATCCCAGTTCAGCGTGATGCCGAAATCTACAGCAGGTTATGGTTGCTGAACAGCTGGTTGTCCAAGTGGTGCTTAGAAAACAATGTGGGCTTGTAGACAATTGGTCTACTTTTGAGGGCAAGCCTGGTCTTCTGAGTCGGGATGGCATCCACCCCTCGTGGGACGGTGCTGCTCTCATTTGTTGTAGTGCATGTAGTCTCTCAGACAGCCGTCAATGTAGGACAGTCAGTCGCTGACAAACCAGGGCCAAGGCCAGGCAGCAGACAGACAGACAAAACCAACCGTCAGCTAGCTGCCTTGAGACACCATATAGGTTCCACCCAATTGAGAGGGTGTCTGTCCCCTGAACAGAGTTCTAGAAGTAATAAAGTATTAGAATAATTAAATTAATAATTGTCAGAGACTTTAATATCCACTTCGACAAACCACTGGACCCACTAAGTAAGGCAATTGTGTCTATCTTAGTCTCTTTACTGAAACCACAACATAGATAATTAAGCCATTCTCCCCAAAGCACAGCAGTCTCAGATCCTTACCTAATCTCATATGAAATTCACTTTAGTCATAATATATGTTCATCGCCACAATATTGTGTTAAGCGGACTGTAACACCCTCCACAGCTGGCAGCTTTATCAAAAACCTCCCAGCTCTATCAGCTTTTTTTAGCTGTCTGTCTGAACCTACCAAATTAGATATTATAACCTAGTCTTTAGAAGATGCTTTTTGATCTACTGTAGATAACGTGGCTCCATTAAAAAGTAAAAGAATAAGGCAGAAAAGTTTGCCCCATGGTACAATGATCATTCTCAAGCTTTAAAACAGACTGTCCAACAACTAGAACATAAATGGCACCTGACTAATCTAGAACCAGTCTACCTGGAAGGATAGCTTTGTAGACTATAGAAAGGCACATACTGCAGCATACCCAACCTATTTCTCCTCTCTGATTGAAAATAATAAAAATAATCCCAGATTATTATTAAGCACAATTTCTAAATTGACTAAGAACCAAACAGCTACTGAACCCCAGATGCCATTTGCTTACATTAGCAATGAGTTTATGAATTTCTTCAATTATAAAAAATTGGATCAATCAGGCAAAATATTCAAAACACACAGTTAACCTCTACAAACCTGCTGCCCTACAAAGCTAATCCAGATCTGGAGTACAGTGTAACTACTGCAGAGAGGCTGGAATCATTTACCTTACTTCAACAAACAGAGCTAGTTAAAATTATTTCCTCCTCCAAATCTTCTACTTGCATATTAGATCCAATTCCTGCAAGTTTACACAAAGAAATGTTGCCAGAAATCACCAAGCCTCCTCCGTCAATAATAAACTCCTCTCTTAGCCTTGGCTATATACCAAAAACTCACAAACTAGCAGTAATTAGTCCTCTGATTAGAAAATCTAATCTTGATCCTTGTAAGCTGACAAAAATGTTGGAAAAAACTGTGCACAACAACTAAGTTCGTATTTTTGCTGGTTCTGTTTGATCTTAGTGCGCCCCAATTGATACAAGAGACCAATCTATCTTACAAGAATACCTTGTAGGAGTAACAGGAACAGATCCTTCCTGGTTCAGATCTTACCTACTGATCGCTATCAGTTTGTGAACGTAAATGGCGAATTATCTGTTCTTACAAAAGTTCGGCGTTCGATAAGGCTGTTTTAGGATCCCTATTGTTTACATTATATAGGCTACCCTTGGGTACCATCAGCCTTCTGGCTCTCCCTTTTAGTTAGGCTGTAATAGTTGGCCTGCCGGAGTCTCTGCTGCACTCTGTTAACACTGTATACTGTAATCAGTTTCTCTTAACAGAACTGTCTGTGTGTTTCTTTGCTGAGCTGAACAACAGCCCATCCTGTGCAGTCTGATGCTGTGGCTTCATCTAACTTGATCGGGTACCCACTGCTCACCCGCCATCTGGACCAGTCAGACCACCATGCTTCCTGCTGTACGATGCTGTGCAAACCTCAATTGCATGCCTTTGGCCCTCCTGATGATACTGCTGCTGCACAAACTAGAACCATTTAATCCTAGCCATCACCTGCTTTTCCCCTTTCTGTATTTTAATATTACTAATAGTAAAACCTTATTCTCCGTTCATATTACTTGTGTTATTGTTTTGCTATCCAGTGTTGATCAGAGGAGGAGGGGTTCCCCTTTTGAGTCTTGGTTCCTCTTAAAGTTTCTTCCTCTTGCTCTTAGGGAGTTTTTCTGTGTCACTGTTGCCATTGGCTTACTCATGGGGGCTTGGAGCAGGGTTTTTCTGTAAAGCTGCTTTATGACAATGCCTCCTGTAAAAAGCGCTACATAAATAAATATACTTTGACTTGACTTGAATGATGTTAGAAGAAGAGGTGATGTAACACAGTGGTAAACATGCCCCTGTTCCAACTTTTTTGAAATGTGTTGCTGGCATTTTAATTAAATGTAGGCTTTAAATGACTTACACATTGTTGCATTCTGTCTATATTTACATTTTGCACAGCGTCTCAAATTTTTGGGAACACGGTTCTAAAATTAAAATACTTAAGAAAGACTTTCTAACCAAACACTAAAATTTATGTTATTTTTCATGTTCTGCAGTATTCTGCATTAGAGGTCTGCACTCCTGCAGGACTCCCATGGGTCCCACCACAGTATCTTGCAGTGTGGGGATAATTTTAAGAGTTGGGAATGGGCAGTTAATTAGCCCTGTGTAGACAGGAGCAGGACATGTCTGTAATAAAATCCTGAAAATTAAAGAATAGCCCAAATAACATGACAATCATTCAATAATTAGTATATATAAATTGTGCAAATGGCAGCAAAATAACAAAAATTAATAAGCTCATTTTAAATAGTTGTAAAGCAACCAATCATGTCAACAACACATGAACAACTAATTAAATGGAATCACAAACCGTGTCAAACTGATGAGGCTGTGTAACATGATGCAGATTCTGTCTCTAAAGCAGCGCTTACCAACCTTCCCTCTGGGGATTTACTTTCCTGCAGAGCTCAGTTCTAACCTGTATTTTACATCCTGCTTCTCCTTATCCAATACATTTGATGCAGCCAATAAAAACATTCTGAAGAAGTTAATTAGCTGGAGGTGAGGCAGACTGTGGTTGGAACTAGACTCTGCAAGAAAGTTGATCTCCAGGACCAGGGTTGGTGACCACTGCGGCACTGCTGTAGAAGGCGAGAAGACATTTACACAACAGATGTAGCAATGGTGACATTTTTCAGTTTTGCAGGATAGTCACCTAACTCTTAAAAGGGACAAACAGGGCTGATATGTGATTTAACATGACTATAACTTCCCGTAATAATTTACAAAACAGCTGGAATGAGTGTGAATTGAGTGTTTGTGTCATGCCATACCCTTGTAACGGTCAGTGCCTTCTCATGATAAAAAGCCTCTCCAAGTAAGGGCTCCCTGTATGTTTCATCAACATCCACCATTGCCTAGCCACAAAGGAAAATGGGGATTAAAACAGACAACATTGGGAATGAAGGGTATCATTAATGTCATTAGAATCATTATTATTAAAACTAATGTAACAGGTTGCATTTACCAAGTTCCAGAACTTGTCAAAGGCCACCACAAAGCCAGTGCAGACCCCACGAAGACCCTTGAAGGACCGAATGTGGACCTTGATTCTGATTCTCTCCTGGACGCAGCGGTTCAGCTCTCCTAAAGGACTGCCGTCATGCACTGTTACAGAAAACACGGAGAACAGCCATCAGTCCGGAGACCCAAAACATACTGTGTCTCTACATACACTCTACAGTACAACTGCAGAAGTTCACAAAGACCTGATGTACATACGGGGCATCCTCGTAAGAACATTTTTACGAGCTTTCTGCTTTCTTCGACTTTGTTTCGCGCCAGTCTCCTCTCCCTCCTCTACTGGGTTGTTCACCATGAGTTTTTTCAGCCTTTCTATTCTCTCTGGATCTGCTACACCCCTCCGCGATTTGCGAAGCTTTTTCTCCACATTTTCAGGTTTTGCTCGGCCACGACCTCCTTTAATAAAGCTCTCGTACTCAGCGACGTTGTTAAAGCACCTGATGTTGGGGTAGGGCAGCGGAACTTGGGGGGAGTACAAGGCAAGCAGTGGATCAAAGAGCTCCGAACTGATGTCCAGTTTCTTATCGATATCATCTTCGTCAGCCTCTGTGTTTTCGCCGCGGTCCTGCTCCGAGACTTGCTGTTCACTTGCGTTTAACGCTGCACTTTGACCACAAACAGCCGAACTGCTTTCACTCCCACCTTCCCTCTCACTTTCCTCCATGTTTGAAAGAACCGCAGTGCTCCAGAGAGAGGGTTTGTGTGAAGCCAGCGGGCAAACTGGTCATGACCGCCCTTCAATTTAAAAGTGGGAACGAGTGTCTAGAAGAGGACACCAACAAAAAACAAAACAAAACAAGAAAGAAAGTGTCATTTTATAATAATAATAAGAAGAAGAAGAAGAAGAAGAATAACAATAACAACAACAACAACAACAACAACAATAATAATAATAATAATAATAATAATAATAATAATAATAATAATAATAATAATAATCGTAAACAACATATATGCATCAAAATAACTAAAAACACTAGCATGGGCTGATGCTCGAATGGCTTCCTACTATCTAGTAGTTGACTGTGAAATTTTAGCTTTTTCAGCCAGATTGTGTACCGTATGTCCAGTAAGGACATACATGTTTTATTACTGTTTGGGTGAAGGATCAGATATGTTAAAATCTACATTGTGCACTATGTAGGGAGCAGGGGAGCATGTGAGATTATGCCGTGTTCGAACAAACGAACTCTCTCATTGTTGCCAGACGGACTGTTCACATTAACGCACCGGTTTCCTGTTTGCTCTCAGACAGCCAGCAGGCGGCGAACTCCAACTACACAAACAGAGCAGCGCGTTCAGAGGGAGCTTACAGGAGCTTCGTTTGTGTTCTTATGGAAAAGCACTCGGTACTTGTGGCTCTTTACATTATATCAAAGCGACACGTGGTGGTGTTATTGTAGCTGTTGTGCTCGTAGACAGTGAAATGAAGGACTGCCGTTTACAGCTGTGCCTCAGGGTCCTCCTCAGTGTCCCGGTAGGGCCTATGTGTCTTTGTTTTAACGAGTTTGCTTGTTTTGCATTTCTACCGGCCAGTTTATTGTGACTGGTATCCGAATTTCACAAGTCGTTGTTGTGCATTCACAGTTACACATTCTAATCATTATCAGACTACCTACAGTTTTAATTGCATTTTGACAAAGTACGAAATATACGAAGTGTTAAGAGATTTTTGTTTCGTGACAAATTAGCTTGACTGCTAGCAGCCGCGTATCCATGTCCGTTGACTAGCTGAACAGTTTCTTGGAGCTGTCTTAATGATGCTGGTTTTATTTTATTTTTTTCAGGGGACATGGAGGTTTTAGTGCTGTATTCGTGGAGTGATCGCCTTCCGTGGAGAGGATAAAAAGGGTTCACATTCTAAAGGGTACAGCTGAGTAAATACATTATACAGGGGACAGTGCCTGTAGTTTGAGTACATTCTTGCAAAACATATGTATAAAAATCTCGGACGTAAGATTTATCATCATTCATCAGGTGTATATTATCTGTTATCTTTTATTTTATTTACAAGATCGCAATATAAAACATTGGAAAGATTAACCATTTCAGAAATAACAGCACAGCAACAAACTTTAGAAGGAAGAAAGGAAACAATACACTAGGCAGATGCTATCCTGTTTTTAATCTAGACCAACTCATTTGCTTGAGGCAAGTTAACATCAATGTTTTGCATATGATTAGGGTAGATTTCACCAGAATCTAAAATAAGTGTTTTACTCTCTCTAATATTTCACTTACTTCTTACAGGTTACCGAAGGTCATGGAGTTCCCAGGACATAGTCAGCAGCTCTTGGCTAGTCTGCGCTCCCAGCGCCTGCAGGGATTTCTGTGTGACTGCACTGTAAAGGTTGGCCCCACTCGCTTTCTGGCTCACCGTGCAGTGCTGGCTTCCTGCTCCCCATTCTTCCACATGTTCTACTCTGAACATCCAGTTGGCAATACATCCACAGTTAACGGTGGTCCAGAGAGAGACACCGTCACCATTAATGGGGATATAGTGACCCCTTCAGCATTTGGGCTGCTCCTTGATTTTATGTATGAGGGTGTGCTCCGCTTAGCAGCTCACCCACCTCCAGAAGATGTGCTTGCTGCAGCAAGTTTCCTGCACATGAATGACGTGGTTCGAGTATGCAAGAAAAGACTGCAGGGCCGTGGACTGGCTGAGGCAGACAGCACCAGGGCAGAAGAAGGAGGGAGTGAGGCTGGGGGAGATGGTCCATCTAGAGAAGGAAGATCAAATGAAGCAGGAGAGAGAAATTGTGGAAGGGGACCGGTAGCAGATGGCGAACAGGGAGCTGTCAGTATTTCAGTATCAAATCCATCCTTATTACCCTCAGTAACGCAGTGTCTACAGCCAAGCCAGCAAATATCTTCTCATGTTGACACAAAAACTGAGGCGAGGGTGGGAGTACCTAGCCGAATCACACACAGTGCTAATTTGGGTAGTCCAGATATGGCAGACACTACTCAACCCGGTATGGACTCTCTTCCAGCAGCAAGTGACTCTGGGCCAGGCTTGTACTCTTCCTCTCCTGGGCCTGTTAGAGCTGGAACTTCAACAATATCTGGTAGTCTTGAGTCTGCACTTTCAAGCCCTTGCAGCACAACAGAATCACTTCAGACAGGCACAGAAGCTCAGACCAATGCATGTACTGTCATGGCTCTGGCCCATATGGACAACAATCAGGCTGGTGACTCCTCTCAAAATGTACCCATGTCAAAAGAAACCAGCACTGTATTTACACATGGCAGCACTCCACAGGGTAAAACTACAAAACCTAAATCGCTTCAGCGCAGAGGACAGAGTTGTGCTATTTCTCTACCACCTCAGCACACTCTAAATCAGGCTGAAGGAAGGCAGTCTTCAAGAGGTTTGGCTGAACAGCCACATTCTCCCATAGCACTATCCTTAGCAGGTAGAGGAGCTGAACGGGAGGAGAATGAAGAGGAAGGGGTGAAAGTAAAGGTGGAGGCCATTGTAATCTCTGATGAAGAACCAGAAGATGTGGAGGAAACACTTGTCAGGGTCAGAGAGCAAAGAAGAGACGCTGGCTTAGAGGAAAGGGAGGATTATGACAGTAACCGTGATGTGGAGATCACAAATGCTCACTTCATCCCTCCACACACATTAATACAACTCCCTCATGATCACCAAGAGCCACTCTCTTTCCCTCTTTCACCACATGGCCCTAGTGCTTCCTCTTCTGATCACACTAGCTTTTCATCCTCACTTTTCCCAACTGCCTCCCAGCAATCAGAGCAGCAGGGCATCTACTTTGAAGAATTTCAAGATTCTCTTGGGAATTACGTGGAAGATGTACCTACATGTAACACTTGTGGAAAGACATTTTCCTGTGCTTACACGTTGAGGAGGCACGCCATAGTACACACAAGGGAGCGTCCCTATGAGTGCAGTTACTGTTACCGTAGTTACACACAGTCTGGGGACTTGTACAGGCACATAAGAAAGGCACATGACCATGACCTGCCAGTGAAACGCAACAGAACAGAGACTGACCCTCCTCCATCCCCACCTCTTCCTCAGCCTCCCCAGACATAACTATGTATATGCCAAGTCCTATCAAAGCATAATCTTTCAAAAGTTGTACTTGAACTAGAAGGACAGACTATTGTAATGGTTTTAAAAAAAAAAAAAAACACGTGTTCCCAGGTTGTTTGGACCAACTTTATAAGACTGTAATTGTTAATATACTGCCAGAGAGCATTTGGCATGTAATTACCCACGTTTCATGCAATACACTTATACAGAAGGTATCCATTCACTTCTGCATATGCCTTTTTGTATGCAGTTGTTGCAAATGTGAAAAAATGGATAGTCTGGAAGTTGTAGTTGTCCCAATAAAGTACAGCTGGTTTAACATACCCTTTGAAACAGACTAACATGCATAGATTAAATACTTTATAACCTATTTAGGTGGATATGATCTTGCAGCGTTGTTGTTTGAGGGCATCTGCTATTCTACTACTACTGCTTTTTTAGTAAAACTGGCCTTGCAAAATGGAAGTTGAAGCAAATACTACTAAAATGGGTATTAAAGGGGAATTTGACCGTTTTAACATTTCTGCATTAAATCATCAAGATGTAAGCAGATTCATTCAGTGTGGTTTAGGTGTGACATCTTTCTAGAGAAATTATTGAGTCTTAATTGTTTACAGTGGTTTTGACAGAAACCAGATATCTGAAGCATGTAATGCCTATGAAAGCTCCCTGATTGAGAGATTGTTTTATGATTCATAGTGGACCGGTAAGGCAGATGTACTTCCCAAAGAAAACTGATTATGCCATTATCAGCAATACATAGATTCACTGATTTGAATAGTAAATAAAATGGCTATATTTGTATTGTAGACAAGGCCAGTTTCTCTACAATAAACCAATTCTCTGCAATTTCACATCAAACCACTCTAGATGACTTCTCAGCTTAATAATTGAGTAATGCAGACATTTTGAAAAATCTGTGGAATTCACCTTTAAAGAAGAGTTTCACAAGTTATTTTACTGGATTATATGATTAGTACGTATGAGGTTCCAGTGACAAAGTCCCAGGGAATTTAGTATGAAATAGATCATTTCAAACCTGAGTGGTATATTAGACATAAGGCAGAGTTTGAATGAAAAGATACACTGCTCAAAAGCTGAATGTCTATCAGACCTGAGAACGGTCCAGACACAGATTCTTACATTCTAATGAGCACACTTTATTGACATTTGTCTATCCAATACTATCAGACTGTTACATAAGTCAATCAGAACTATATATAGTGGTGCATGCACAGAGAATCAAGATTGTTCAGTCCTACATGTATGAACCTACCAACGTGGTGAAGGAATTGCTGTCACAACCATACAACATGGTTGTATGTTTGCTTGAAGAGATTTTCAAGCAGAAACGCATAGTTTTGATAAAAGCCACATGGGAGGGTCATACAACATCAGCCATGTGTCTGGTGGGGATAAACTTTATATAACCTTAACATCAAAAGGGGAAATGCATAAGTATATGCAGACATTGGAAAGGTGTTCATTGGACCAACTTATGAATGTATGAGTACATGCATAGTGAGACCACAAGGCCAACATTAACATACTTAAAGCTGGGTTGCTTGGTGCTTTAACTAAACATTAATCAAACAACCACACCCAGTTGATCTATTAGTTTCAAAGTGCTCAAACCAAACATAAATAGGGTTTTTCTTAAATCCTTCAGTGTTTGGTAATGAGAGATTACTACTAGGTCTGTTTTTTTCCTCCTTTTTGAAATATTGTGTACTGGTCTGCTTCTAAATATGTAGTATGTTAACTGTAATTATGAACCAAAAATATTTGGAAAACAACTTTACAAAGTAAGTCATGTCTCTAATTCAACTCCGTACGTATTCGAAAGAAATGACACTGATTAATAAAAAAATAGCTGTACAATCAAATAATCAAGCAGCACAGAGCTCTCTTTTAGCCTGTAGTTCTGGTAGAACAGAAACACATTTGTGGAAATGTAACGGCATACTGGGCAAATCCCTCACTGTTGTAACTCTGACTTTCAGCCATCCACTGGTGCATGTATCTAAAGAAAGTAAAAAAGGAAAAAAAAGAAAAAAGGATGAAATTCTATGGCAGAACAACAGAGCTCATTCTCCAGTCTAATGTAGTTGTTTTATCAGTATAACTTACCATCTCAGCCAGTTTAGGCCACGCCATTGCCATCACAACACAATCATCGGATGTAGGAGGGGTCTCCAAGTTCCAATATGTAAAATTATGGAAAACTGAAGAAACTTTAACTATTCTGTCCTACAAAATGACAAAAATTGAGACTATAAGGCACCTCTTCTGTAAATAAAGTATGTCAAATGCATATTTACAAACTACAGGATGTATACAATGTATTATGTAAGAACAGCTGCACACATTATGATGTTCTTCAATAGCACAAACTATGTAATTTCAGTGTAAAACCATGGCCATTTTTAAAAACAAAAGCACCACCCATTATTCTATGCTTTTTGTAAGACTGTCCTTCCAGATCTAATAATCTGGGAATTACAGAATTGGGTTTCTTGCTGGGTACAGAGAGATTCACTCGAAAGAGGCCCCGAATATTCTGCTGTAACTCCCATTAGGATGAAACAATCTGAACCAAAAAAATACGCTACAAATCTTGACCTACATGTAGTCGATTGCATTACATGCGATGCTGGAAGTGATCTCTGTTTTCTAACAGACACATGAAGGGGTACAGGGTATGCACCCGGAAGTTACAAACGGGGGTTAAACTTGGTGACGGCTGTCCAGCGCCTACCTCATCGCTCCGGCGCAGGGGCGTCCCAGCTTGTGAGTTATTACAGAATATTCGGGGCCTCTTTCGAGTGAATCTCCCTGTATTATCTTACATACTATATCTTATATACCAAAAAACAGATTTAGTTTGGAGAAATCAAAAGACACATGAAGTTAAAGAAAAGAAGACTTTCAGGAGTTTCTGCAATCTATGCACAACACACCCAGAGAACTCCCAGTAAATTATGAAAATTCTGGGGCACTTTATTACCCCTCTAGCCAATGCTTGGCATTGGACATGGTGACCTTAGGCTTATGTGCAGCTGCTCAAGAGGTTCCTATTCTACTGGCAGTGCTTTTCAACAGAGAGTATTTGAGGTGTGTGTGCGCAATTCAACCCGTGTCAACAATCAAGCTCCTTAACTTGAGCGGTCGTTGTCTTGTCTGTAAAACGCCATTACCTGTCTGTAAAGCACTTTAAGCTGTCAAAGTGTAGCTAAAACCAATCACTAAAAGGGGTGTCTTGATACTTTTGGACATGTAGTGGCCATGGACCAATCTTATGGTTACATGAAACATTATAAGAAAAAAAATTAAAGCATAGAGTTCAATGAAATATAAATGCATACAAATAGCCACACTGATCTGCTGAAACCTAAGACCTGCAATTTGAACATGCTCAACTTACCTCTTGATCTGAAGATGGTCTTTGAACTTCTTTCAGTACTAGTCCTGTGTAGCCCTGTGGACAGTTCACCTCCTGACCCTTCAGCCCACGACCTCTGAACGACACAGTCTTTTCTACAGTATCAATAAGACAGCCGTGTTACAGGGTGCGTTTGAAATTCATCGCAATCTTTAAAGCCAGCTAACAAAAAATAACTTGTCGAAAACAAACCGCATTTGTGTTCTTTCACTGTTGGGGTGAAAAACTTGGCCACCTCAGCTGGCCCGTCATGTTCAATCTCGCATGGTAAAAGATGAAGCTGTGATTTATCCGCCTGGCTGAGGGAGCCGATCTGGACTGCAGTCACACAGCCGTTCGCCGCCATCTAACAGCGGAAAACGACAGCAGTCAGAACTATCACAGCCGGACTCAGCTAACAGTTAGCTTAGCCATCCTACACCACTAGACACACATCTGCGACTAAAGGGTGAGATAATTACAGCCTGATCAATAACTCTGTACAGGGTTTTAAAGCCCTGTATACGTTTACAGTACAATCTGTATTCACACTAAAACGATAACTTTAGCTGGCGTTCATGAACTCTAAGTCGCCGCCGCAGCTCTTACCTTGTCTGTTTTGGGTAAATCCACGTCCTGATTGGACATTCTTTCTCTTCGCCGCTGCGTGAATATTTTTGGCGGGAAAAGATCGGAAACACTGCTGCCTAGAGGGCGGTTTGTAACTGCTACGTTTGTGTTGACAATCCGTAGCCCCACTCTCTCTTCGCCTCCCCCCTCGCCTCGCCTGGACTGCTCAGCAGTGGGGGGAGTGGGAGTGGACTTTAAACCCCGCCCACAGTGAGGACTAAGACTTACCACAACACTCAGTAGAGCACGGTTAGTAGGATGGAGGAGGAAACAACATCTAGCCCACACATACATATTTTATAATGCACTTAAAACTTTGTTTAGACAGAAGACATTTCCTTCACTTGCCTGTTTACAAAATCACAGACTGTAACGTTATGTGGTGAAGTTAAAGCTAAAAAGTAACTATATTTATCCCCTAAGTTGAGTTGTATGCATGCAGACATCAATTAAAAATTATTTCGTCTGCGCGTTGTCGTAGATGTTTTTTCTTCTGTAAACTCAGAAGTTTAAGCTCCTCGCCTCTTATATATGCTGAAGCGCTAACGCAGCACATTATGGCTGTGTCCCAAACTGAAGGCCGCTGTCTCGATGCCTTGCTGCCCATTCTGCCCCATCCTGCCCCCGGGTCTCTCTGCTCGTCGCTGGTGAGCTTTTCTATGTCGTAACGGAAATTAAGGGACCATATTGAACAAATCTGGGGCCGAGAAAAATCTAATATGCTGTTTGCTCGGTCTACTGCTTTGTACTGTATACGCCTGATGGAAGGTACACTGTCTATTTCCTGCCAAAATAAAATCTTTAGTTAAAATAATCAAAGCCGCAGCCAATCACAATACAGCTAAACGAGCAGAGCGTCAGTCTGTAGCCATGGTAACGGCACCTTCTTCCTTACATTGGAGAGCGGCAGAGGCAAACAAACACGAACTCAAACAGGTGTTTGTTCTTCGTCCTTTATCGTCAGTGTGCTTCACAGCTGCAGAGTAACTTCATACGGAGTGACACTCCGTACTGGAGGCGATGGATGTTGGAGGAGGAGCGCTTCTTGTGAAGACGGACAGTTTGACCGGCAGTGCCCCACCCAGCTCTCCCAGCGGACACACATCAGACATAAAAATTCTCTGAAGAAAATAAAATTTAATTTCGCGTGTGCAAATAATAACCACACTCATTACAAAACACGAGCCGTATTCACTATAGCTTGTGTCTACATGGTTTCCGCGGAACTTCTTTTTATTGATGCAATTATTCATAACAATCGCAACACACGTCACAACTACACTAAATGGGTAAATTAACAGCAGCAAAATAACCTAAAACAACAAAAACTGAAATACAATCGAATAAATAAATGAACAAAATAATCTTATACCTTCCCAAATTAAAGGACTTTCCTGTGTGAAAAGGTTAGATACCATTTCTGTTAATCTCCATTAACCCCCGTTCACTGAGGACTCGCTCGCGCACGCCCTCTAGCGTTTTTCAGTCATTGTTGGTGTAACGGGAGGAAAAGGAAGAGCAGAACCCCCTTAATCTGGCTTTGCTTTGTTGTTGTGTGTTTGTTTCTTTGTTTCGACGTTAACATAAAATCCCAATGAGATTGTAATTCATCAAATTTACGCACTTGTATCTAATTGTTGGATTTACTAAAGGTCGTCTGAGTGGTTGAATACAACTATTTTCTACCAGCGGGCTGATTTTGTGTGATCTGTAACTCATGGCCTCGCTAAAGATATGGCAGGGCTGAGTAGTATGTAGATCCACATGAAGACAACATCAAGCAAAAACCAAAAACCTGACAAGCGAAAGGAGCTGCCAGGAGCGTGCAACACCAAAAATCTTCCGACAAGCAAACCATAAAGCATGCTGTTCCGTCTTCTCTCGCGTCTTAGCCAAGTGAAAACAAAGTGCAGTTTTCGTGAAAAAATTCAGTTAGAGGGTTTGCTGGCCACGTTTTTTTAAGTCACTGCATAAAAATGGAAGGAATTCCTGCTTTGAAGGTGCCACAACACTATGCACAGCAATACAGGTGAAAGACATTAGCGTTAGCTAACTAGCTTAGCTTCTAACTACCAGCGGCGACATACTGTTATTTCTATCGTGTTACCACTGTTTTCATCTTTTCTATAGACGACATCTGTTGGCAGAAGGTGTTTTAGACCTGCACTACTGTGTGCAAAAACACTCCAATGGAACAGTGACTCTCCCAGTCCTGCCATCCGCTCTACCGAACCTGGATCTGCTTTCACTTCAGAGCGCTGTGGCTCAGGACAGTCAGGAGAGCAGCTCATGTGAGATAATTAATATACAGGTAGCCTCATAAAATAAGCCATGTAAAACTGTTTGTCGTTCCATTCTATCCCGAAAATATTTTTGCATTTATTTGTTTGTTTGTTTAAATCCGAAGATTCCTCAGCTGTCAAAAAAAGGAAAAGTGAAGTCATGTCGAGAGAGACTTGTACAGGCTGTGCAAACACTAGTAGTTACCCGTGGAGAAAAATGGAGACAAGAACTAGATGACGACCTTCCCAGAGGATGGCAAAAGCATGGTGATCTGGTTCTGTTTGGTGAAGGATGCTTTTCTTATACAATCTGGAGAGAGATTGGTTAGTTACACTCAACAACTGACATATTATTATTAGTAGTAATGTTGTTTTGCTGCTGTTAATAATACATACATACATACATCATCTAAACCGCTTATCCTTCTGGGTCGCGGTGGGGTGCTGGAGCCTATCCCAGCTGTCATTGGGCGGAAGGCAGGATACACCCTGGACAGGTCGCCAGTCCATCACAGGGCGGGCAGACAGACAGACACATTCACACACTCACTCACACCTAGGGGCAATTCAGCATGTCCCATCAGCCTGACTGCATGTTTTTGGACTGTGGGAGGAAACCCACGCAGACACGGGGAGAACAGGCAAACTCCACACAGATATGACCCTGGTCACCCAGCCGAGAATCGAACCCAGGCCATTCTTGCTGTGAGGCGACAGCGCTACCCACTGCGCCGCCCGCTGCTGCTGTTGTTGTTGTTGTTAATAATAATGATAATAATAATAATAATATTACTACTACTACTACTAATACTACTACTACTACTAATAATAATAATAATAATAAGAAGAAGGTATAATATAATTTATAATAATATTGTACCCTGAGAGTTCTCTTTAGCTCTTTTGAATGCTATATTTTAGCCTAGGACTGTACTTGGTCTTAGAAATTAAGCGAACACAGTTACTGTATTGTGATTTGCTATTGATAATGATAAATAGTTCAGAACTAAGCTTGAACTACACCAGTAAGTCAATATACAATTATATTTGACAAATAAATAAGTGATTTTCATTAATGGTTTATCTATTTCTGTTATCATTAATCATTATTAATTGACTTTTCTTTAGGACAAATTAAGATTTCTATCATCATTAGGATTATTCAGTGGTATAATTGCACACAATCCATATAAACAATATTTTTGGTCTCTCCTGGTAAAAGTGCACAGGATAAGAGATCACTGTGGGTATGGGGTCATTTCACCCCACCTGCCATAGATCTCACTACACAGTAATGTCAAAAACACTGAAAATGTTCATGAGCTGCATAGAAAGAATTCTACTAGCGACTTTTTCAAACACTCATGTACACTGCAGTGTCAGGAAAAATCAAAAGTTGAAAATAGTGAAATTATCTGTTTGATGAGCTTGAGTATGTTAGTAGTTTGCTTTTCCACATCATGTGTTAGTTAGTGTTGTAGTTGATGTTTGTGGGGTATCCATGATTTTCATGATATGCTTTAGAGGGGCCAAACGGTTTTCCCCTCTACTAGGCCAACTGTTGTATTTTTAACATGCTTAATTGGGGGTTTTCTTTTCTGTTCCTTGCATCTCTTCTCGTGTCTTAGCTCCTCCTTTATAGTCGCATACTAGAATATATATGGACTGATGATTTTTGCACAGCTGTTTCTGAGCTTATAACGGGACCCTTTTAGGCACTTAATTAACATCACTGTGTGTGTACATGTTTATGACATGCCTAAATGTTGATGTCTGAGCATACACAAGAGCAAGCATGATTTATTACAATTAATAAGAAATTTCATTGACTTTGATCCTCTTGCAGTACCATCTTTTTTCTGTCTAATCAATGTCAGTAAATATCCAATGACTACACAGGGTGGTCATGTTTGATCAGGTGGAGAATTGGCACCATATCGTCTCTCACATACTTTGTTCATGTTTAAAGAGGAATTCTACCGATTTTATAAATGTATCATTCAAGATGTGAAGATTTGAGCAAAGATGTGAACATATTGAGATGTGAAGAAAGTCAGATTGGTTGGATGTGAAATGCTCTGTTGTAAAGAAACTTGCTGAGTCAGAACTGTTCACAGTGATGATGATGGTATAATTTAGCCAGTATCTTGGGTTTTTGTTTTGATATATTCAACACATTTTCTTTCTGTCTTCTGATTTCTGATCAGAAAAACAGAGGAATTTGAAGTTACAGAAGAACAGAAAACCTGAGAAGAATAATAATGCAGTAACATAAATTGCACATGCAGCAAGTTTAGGATTGAGCTAACATGCACACACTTAGACTCACACTTAGAATCTTTTTAAAGAAACTGTTGAATGTTCTGAAGCTTTTTATTTTAATTTAAGGATCTGAACTGTGGTTGGCAGTTGCCCGAGCGCTGGGAGTGAAGCGTCTAGCGCAGATAAAACAGATCTCCCAGGATGAGTTTCGAACGCCAGTGGTAACAATGCTGTTGGGGGACAGCAGCTATGTCACACACATCGATAACCACATCAGGTAAAGCCTAATTACTGGACAGAAAAAAAACAAAACAAAAAAGCATTTTCCATAATGTGGGCCCTTTAAGACTTGGTTTTCTTGCTTGGTCTACTGTAATTAAATTTATGAAAAGTTTACAAAAAGAACATTTTAGTGCACAAGTTAGTGGCTGGGTGTTAATTTAAAAAAATCAGATTCATAGCAGCCGGTTAGTTATTAGTTTGTAGTTTTTCAGCTCATAAGCAGCTTAAAATAGTTTTCTCAAGTACCTACTTCATAGTTTGAATGACATTAAGTTAACAAAATGACACTCAAATTGTCTATCATCAAATCAAAATTGTAATTGAATTGCTGTTAAGACGGTCATTAATGTATGAGGTCCTACCGCTGTTAGGACTGTCACCAATACCAAGCAACAACACACAAAAAACTTGTTACGACAGGATTACAGTCTTTCATTATGCTCAGTAACAATATATGCATTATTGTAGACTGAAGATTATTCTGGATCAAAGCATTTTAACTGTTACACTCTGAAATGTGAAGCATAAATAATGTGTAATATAAATGAAAGTGAAATATCAGTTATATCAATCCTCAGACTCTAATTCAACTTCCAGGTATGAATTTGATGTCACCAAGTGCATGTTCTCCTTTGGCAACATCACGGAGAAACTGAGAATAGCCTCCTTCAACTGCACTGGCGAGACAGTCGTTGACCTGTATGCAGGTGTGTACTATGCTTTTGTTTCACTCTGTTTTTAAATCAGAGCACTGCACTTTGTCAGCTGAAATTCAGGCTTTGTTTCACTGTCAGGTATTGGCTACTTCACCCTGCCATACCTGGTACATGCGGGTGCCGCCCATGTTCATGCTTGTGAATGGAATCCAGATGCAGTAGCTGCTCTGCAGCGAAACCTGCAGCTTAATAAAGTAGCAGACCGCTGCACTGTGCATGTAGGAGACAACAAACAAGTAAGGGCTACTGTTACTACATCAGTTTACAATAATGATGTTTGCTCTTTATTTTGTTTTCTGCTAGAGACAAGGATACACACAGTCCCCCCATCCTTTATTGAAGTTCTGAAAGGGCCCATATCTTACATTTCTCTGTAATTTTTATTCCCCCCGAGATCCGCTTATAACATTTGTGTGTTTCATTTTCACAATTTTCCAAGCTCTTTTTATCCTTTAGAATTCAACAGGGAGTTTTTCACTGTGCCTTTAGGACTGATTTATGTAAATAAGCCCTGTTTGGACGGTCTACCCTGTATTGTGCTTAATTTAAAAAGCACTCACCCAAAACAGTCTGTATAACTTCAGTGTGAACGGGCGGGGCTGAACTGCTGTAGCACATATAGATACTCATCACAGTATTTCAAAATAATTAAAAATGGGCTGTTTTTGCAGCTTAGCCTCAATATATGGATAAAATGGAGTGGAGAGTGATTATGTTTAATTCAGTTTTCCATAATATGGGCCCTTGAGGACTTGATTTTCTTACTGTAATTCCGTTTTTTATGAAAAGTTTACATAAAGAAAAGTTTAGTTCACTAGTTAGTGGCTGCATGTTAATTAAAAATTTCAGATCCATAGCAGCTGGTTAGTTATAATTAATGTGCAGTTTTTCAGCTCATAGCAGCCTAAAATAGTCATCTCAAGTACCTACTTCATAGTTTGAATGGCATTAAGTTAGCAAAATGACACCTAAATTGTCCATCATTAAATGAAAATTGTAATTTAATTGCTGTTAAGACTGTCATTAATGTATGAGGTCTTACCACTGTTAAGGCTACAACACACAAAAAACTTGTTACGACAGGATTAGTCTTTCATTATGCTCAGTAACAATATATGCATTATTGTTCATTGATGATTATTCTGGATCAGATGGCCACTTTGCATATTCCCCCTAGCTCTCCCTGAGTGGCCTAGCTGACAGAGTCAATCTAGGTCTGATACCCAGTTCTGAGGAGGGCTGGCCCGTGGCATGCCACCTCCTGAGGAAGGATGTTGGTGGAACACTGCACATCCACCATAACGTCACCACACCTTTCCACCGTCAGGAGCTTGAGGAGTGTTCTGACTCACAGAGGGCAGCTTCTGTGGAAGATGAGGACAAAGGAGTTGTGAATGGATCTCTAAAGATCCTGAGTGACAGAGAAGTGTGGAATGCCTGGGCCAAAGACACAGCCAGTCGCATAGGTACACTTCTGAGAGACATCACTGGAGACGACTGGAGGACCAACATTAAGCATATAGAGCATGTGAAGTCTTACGCGCCACATATCAACCACATAGTGTTGGATTTGGAGTGTAAACCACTTAAATAAGTTGGCAGACAATCTGTTTATCTTTTCTTTGTAATAATAAATGGACTTACTATTTAACTTTGCCTGGTGTCTTTAATGCTTTGTCTACTGATCACAAATAACAGTAAACAAATTTTTCCAGTGGCCATCTGCCCTACAGTGTTCATTTGAATTTTCCAGAGAGCAGCAGAATAACAGGCTGTCTGTGGTGTGTCTATGTATGTGTTGTCATCCCAACATCAAACCTGCGTATATACCTAGTATGTTGTAGTACTTAATTACTGCTGTTTACTTATTCTGGATATAATCATAGGTTAAACTAGTGTTTAGTTATGATGTGTCAAAACGACTGAAGTACTAAAGAGCATGTTAAATCCTTTTAGTGATGATTCTCATTTGCATTTTCGTTCTGGGGGAGATTACAGATTGCTAAACTTCCTCGAAATCATTCTCAGTGATCTTGTACATGTAAGTAAAAAAAAAACTCTACAGCGTTAATCAGTTCATCTGATGTGTTTAGGTGGGAGTTGACTGGAGGAGGAAACTGACGTGTGCAGCTGTCGCAGAAAACGAAGCTGCTCTACACCTGTTCGACAGTTTGAGACAGTCGAGTCGTGTTTGCTCCTTCGGCCAAATGTAGCTTTACAAAGAAAAGGTTTTTGTCCGTCTTCAGGGAGTCTGCTGGCTTTTTTGGAAAACACTTCGTGGTCGAAGGAAACTAAGAGCCGGATAATAAGCAGAGTTTGACAAACAAACTCAAAGCAGCCTCGGTAAGTTAGAGCAAACAACAAGACGAATGGTGGGCTAATGGTTTTCATATTCGACAATGCAGCGTTAGTGTAGTTCAGTAAAAAAGGAAAGCTTGTATTGTGGTTTAATAGTTCATTTAATAATGGCCAGGACTGGTTTGGGCTCGCTGTCCAGCGTGTGAACTGGGTGTGAGCTTTCTTCGTTGTGCTACAGGGTCATCTAGCCTGCTGCTACTATTAACTTGCATTTTCAGCTCGACTGCTTTAAAGTCGGCATTTGAACAGAGCTTTTAGCAACAAATGTAAATTGAAGGGCTTTGGGGGTGAAACATTAAGTTTCATTTAAATCTCCAGAGATTTGACACTGAAGTCACATGTTTTTAAGTAAGTAAGTTAAAACATTTCTTCTCTAAGCATTTACAAACAGTATATTTAAGTATTTTGGGCGGGAAAAATGCTTGAATGTAAGTACTTAGTTGCGTTTTTATGTTTCATTTTACATTTTATTCTGTTTTGCTGTTGCTCACACTTCTTATTTTGGAACTTTAGCTTTTCATTTTGGACCAAAACCTTCCCAAAAAATGAGAAGAATAGAGCCTTACTAACTTCAGTTCCTTTGCTAAAAGACGCTGGATGTTCTAAAAAGTTCCACTGCAGTCCTAAAGGGAACTCAGTACTTCAGGAGTTTTGTGACCTGATACCGTTTTACTTCATCATGAGCTGTTTTTTTTTTTTTGTGCTCTTACTTGTAATATCATTCTTTTATTGAAGGAACTTTGTATATGTACTTAAGTATGGTGAGGCTCTTCTGCTCACCTCTGCATGCCTTAAAGCAGAACAAATTCTTCTGGCCTTATCTGTGACCATGGTCAGGTAGCAGGTTGAAGATAGGCTTTGTCCAGGCAACAGTGGAGGGCTGTTTACCTCTGAATTCCTTTCACAGAGAGTTTAAACAATGAGGAAAAAGCCTGCCACTGAAGGCTAATATTTGTGTTATAGGATATGCACCCTCCCCAAACCAGTTTTACTGAGGGGTTGTTTTAATGCTCAGTGGTTTGTTTTCATCACTTTCTCACACTTCTGCTAACTAAAGTTCAAATTGTATGGTTCGTTGGAGCTGGTGATTATTAACAGCCCTGAGCAACATCATTAAATAAATGTTAACTAAAGAACTCCACCCATGACTCTGTGGCCTTAGAGGGTGGGAACGTTGTGATACGCTGACTTCTTGATGTTGTTTTTGCCTTTCCTTTTCTGCCAGGCCCTTTTCCCGTGGCACCCGTCGTCCCTTGGAAGTTCCATGCTGAGTAGCACAAATCATGGATGTTTGATGCTTGTCAAGTATTTTGCAGAGCAACAAATCAAGGTGACTGTTCTCATGCTTCTAGAACTTGTGGTCTCCTATGACTTATTAGTGTAGGTTCTGAAGACATGCTGATTTTTTTAATGCCGCTTGTGTGTGCTGGGAAACATGAACAAAATGTAAATGGCCTCTGTGTTTGCCAAACAAATTTAGCTTCACAGAGGGCAAATGGATCCCAAAAGTGGTGCAAATGCAATTAATGCTATACCTGGTCTGGGCTCAGTGCCTTTAGATGATGGCCTGTGTGTCTCAAAGCCTGCCAGTCCCCTGATCTGCATATTATGCTGAACATTAGGTTGCCTTTCTTGCCTTGCTAAATTACACAGCTCCTGCTGTGAGGTACAAAGAGCTACTGCCTGGCTGGCAGCAATAGCCACTCTGCATAGAAGCACCAAAAAAAAAAAGTACACTCCCTCTATTTGTCACTGCAGCCCTGTATCAAAGTCTCTACCCTTTCTTCAAATAGCAGAGTCCTGCACTGTTTGTATAACAAGAATTGTGCACATATTCACACAGCCAGCCTCTGCTAATGTGTGTTTTACTCAGCATGTTTTGTCAAATGCAAAGTGGCAAATGTAGTTTTTGTTGACATGAGCGCTGTTTTGTTGGCTTTAGGCGTTGGTCCAACTCTGTCAGCTTATAGCTGTCATTTGTCCTTGAAAGCAAAAGTTTGTTGGGCTAAGATGATGCAGACCATGGAGACAATCAACGTATCCTTCCTGACTGACTCGGAGCGGAAGCTGATCTTGGATGTGTTGCACAGGGACGAGGAGCTGAGACGACTGGAGGAGCAGCGGGTTAAGTGAGTGCGGAAATGCTGCTGTCTGTGCCCTCACATCAGTGCTTTAGTTGAGTGGTTTCCAATCCCATGCCCTGCACATCTTTGTATTTTTTTTTCTAATCTAATGCACCTGTTATTGTAGCTGACGCACTGCCAACACTGGACAACAGTGTTATGAGCACACGCAGGGAACTTTGATGTGGTGGGGGAAAAAGCATAAGTTACTTATCTGACCATTCTCATTACATTGCATGGCCACTTATCAGATATGTAATCTAGGAATACATATGTTAAGCTTTGTTCAGGCAGCTCAAATCCATTTTTTTTAACATATTCAACTGGAGCAGGAAAGTTTTAAATGGCAAAATTCCATTTGACTTTTTCCAATCAGATTCAGGCCACATTTATATGTGGTTTCAGATCAAATCTCTGGACATGTGGCTGGTCAGATGTTTGTTTTTTATGTTTCTTAATGCCAGAAAGTGCAACAAGTAAATTGGAAAATCATACTTTAACCTGACACAGTGCTAGCCAGCATACAAATGCCAACATCCTTATTGTGAACCAATGTGGATATGCATGCAAATGTGACTATAATCTGATCATAATAATCATTATAATAATTTGGCCACCTATAAATTGCAAACAGATTTCGGTTACAAAAAGATAGTATCTCAAATCAGAGTTGAAATATCTTGTTTGTGTAAGCATAAAAACAACAGATCTGTATCACAGTTGGGCAAAACATTCGATTTGTGAATGTGACCTAAGGTAAAAATAAGTACAAATCCTCTCCAGAGAACAAACTTCAGCACATTTTAATGGGTAATTACTGTTTATTTGCTGAATTTAACATACTGGGGAAAAAAACTTTTAGCAAAAATGTGGCCTGTGCAAAAGTTATGCCACATGCCATGAGTTCAAACTTTTGTACATGACTGTATGTACAGTGCTGAACGCCAGATGAGTGTAGCTCTTGATCTCTACAGGAGGCTGAAGACAGAGCTGTTGGAGATCAGAAGGAAGGGAGCAAAGCGCAGCAGTGGGAATTACATTGAGCGCAGCTGTGGACGCTGCCAGGAGCCCCTGGGTCGTTTAGGCTCTCGCACCAACCAGTGCCTGGCATGCAAACACCAGGTGTGCCAAAACTGTCGCTCCGTCCAACCCAACAGATCCTGGGTGTGCAGTGTGTGTGCCAAGGAGGCGTGAGTATATAATCTTTCGCTCTGATTCAGTCCAGCTGAAGTGCCGGTCCTCATACTTCAGAGGCACAGTGGACTGGAAAATTAAGTGTTTAGTTTAATGCAGCTGGTTAATGTTTAATGGAAGAAAGCACTGTTTTTATTGTTTCTCCTTCCCAGAGACCTAAAGAAGAGCACAGGCGACTGGTTCTATGACCAGAGGGTTAACCGCTTTTCCACAACTCCAGGACACGACATAGTGCGAGTCTCCCTCAGGAAGAGGCCTCCAAGTGAGTGCAGGAAACAGATACCAGGCAGTGTGATAGTGACGAAGCTTACATTCACTTTGTTTTTTAGCGATACAGCCAAAGAATAAGGGGAAAGAAGTGAGATATTTGGATTGAATTGTAGTCTTTTAATATGAAAAAAAACACAGTGAATTAGTATGCACATATTTTCTACTAATCATTAAATGGACTGTGACAGTATGAACTTCCTGTTTCTGAAATTTGCATGGCACCATTCCAGTGAAGAAGCGTGAAACTACAGGAGAGGTGCTGCTGAACAGTACAGAGTTAAACTCCAGCCAGACTTTACCTGTACCTAGACCGAGACTGAAGGACCTTGCTCAGGCCAACCAGACGTAAGTACATCTCACCACCAGGTGGAGACAGTCCAAAGATTTCAATAATTAGCAGTGTATTTAAAAAGTAGCAGTTATTCAGAAAGTAAAGCTAAATAGCGTAATGATTTTCTTAACTTTATAACAAGTGGAATGGAGAAGGAGATCGTAAATATAAAGAATGAACATTCTAAAACAAGGTCCAAACACAAAAATTAAATCAGTGGTAGCAATGTTTATTGTAAATTCCAAAAAAAAAAATCTCTATTGTAATATATACCTACAAAATACCTGATGCATCTTTCAATGCATCTGTAATAACACCTTTTGTGACCAATGTAAAGCACAATGAACACAAAATATTATGTTTGAGGACTTTGTGTTGACCTAAAAAGTCCCAAACGATTAAAAAAAAGCTATTTCAGCATGGCGGAAAATCAAATAGGGCATAACACCAAAACCTGCAAAGATAAATTCACAAAACTGGACATTAAAGAAGAAGACTGTCAGCTTACACTAAGCCAAGCCTTTTCTGAGAGAATAAAATCTGTCAGTAGTACCACAGTAACATTTGCATTTGTCTGACCCTCAGCCCTTCTAATGAGCAACTGCAGCGCAGTGACACCGACTCAGAGAGAACCAGCATCAGCAGCAGCCGTGCAGACACAGATTCCTTGCACAGTACTCCGTCACTGCAGAGGTAAAGCCTCTTTTTAAGTATGGAACAAGTAAAGTATTTAGTAGTCTGTATTGAGCACAGTAGCTATTAAATAGAAGCTGTTTTTCTTTTTCTTTTAGGAAAGGAGAGGTGGTGACCAAGTCCAGTCCAGCAGGCTCCACTGTCAGTGTGACCGCTCCTGCTCCTGCACCTTCTAAAACCCACAGTCCTTCTGGATCCACCTCTGGCACTGAGACTGTAAGTGTACGGAGATGTCAGATTGAAACATCATAGAATCCTTTTAATAATAATGATAAGACAATGATATTGAGACACAAAAGCCCAATTATTAGTCTTTGATTACTTATTTATTAATATTTTTTTTTTTTTATGTGGAACTAATAGATTAGTCAGACACCAAGTAGTTGTATTGTATTGTATTGTATTGTTGTAGTGTATCTGACCAAACGGGTCTGCTAAATATGTGAACATAGGAGGAAGTTTTTTAAAGGTCGACTGAATGTTGCTTTGTTTACTTCACGATTCTGTTTTGCTTCAATAAAAAATGTTAAAATGAGATGAGAAAATTTCCTTTTGGAGCCATAATGTGCGCTGAAAGTTGCCATAGTATGTCATATAAAATACTGTCCGTAGGACATCATAAATCTTTTAAAAATCTCCATTGAACCCCTGCTGCTTTTTTGCCTGTGGTCATCCACAACCTAGCTGAGGAAATGAATGTTCCTCATATTATAACCTCAGTTGTTTCCATAAGCAATATTGCAAGATCCTCCATTCTGATGATGCACACAAAAGCTACTTCAGTGCTAATAGCTCTCCCTTGTGGAGAACCTTCAGCATGTAAAACTGAAGTGTAAATTACAAGCCAGGTCCAAATGATCCACATGACAACACAGCTGGACAGCACATATTATCAGCATCAAGTACATCAACCTAGAGATAAACAGCACAAGACCAAGTGGATCCCATACATGGTGAATTACCCTAAATATATAAAATATTTAAAAATGAGATAAGCAAGTCTAGCAAATTGACATGCCAATATATACAGATCATTTAGCCATGGAGCTGAAAGATCATGACAAAAAATGATCAAAACACATACAGCATATACCTACTAGATGGGTAACGAGAAAAGTATAGGTTACAATTATAATAATAAACACGAAGCATTGCCATAACTTTACAGAACATGATACCACTGAGCTTCCGTATATTCTGCTTCACTGTCTTTATGCATCTGTTCTTGCATAGCTAACAGATTTAATCTTTCTCTCCCCTCTCCCCAGTCTTCTTTAATTCATCACATTAACCCCTGCTCAGAGAACTTCAGTGATGTTGATGGGCTTTTCAAGAAGAGTGTCAGACGAGTGCACAAATTATCAGGTAGTGTCTAGTTTCGAACGACAGGAAACAAGAACCACATGCTATCCATATTCAAAAAAAGTACATACATTTTTATACTTTTTCTAACATGAGCAAATTCTGCAATGTTTAAAGTGCTGCACCTTTCCTAAGAATAGAAATGAAAGGTATTTTTCAGAGGTAATCCAAAACTAGAGATAGTTGTAGCATTACTGGAGGTTGACCCTGTGGTGTGCTTGCACAAACAGCAACTGTGGTGTACACTGTGGCATTAATTTCCTCTGAATGGTGGTTTTGAAACACTCCCCTTGGGTAAATAGATCCACCACTTGATCTAGGTCCAGTAACTTTAACAGACTCATTAGAAACTTGAATTCACTGTAAAGTAAGTGCTTTTTTTTTCTACCACCTCAATGATAAGTTGATCATGCAGCATTTACATTGCTTCTGTCATTCTGCCAGCAGTGCAAGGCAGTTCCATCTGACCTCTTAATGTATTGTAAACCACTGTTTCTTCATTTAGATTTCAAGCCAAGCTCTGTAACGGACGTGCGTAAAGACAGCGCTGATGTCACCACATCCTCTATGGGAGACAGAAGCAAGTCAGTCCCAGGGCTCAACGTAGTGAGTTTTCTATTTTGACATACACATGGACTGGGCCATCATCATCATTGCTCCATCAAATTCAATTAGAGATGGCATGATGCCACTTCCTTTATTGCTGCTACCAATATTGAAACCTTCAGTATTGGTTGATAACAATTGGATAAAGATTTAAGTTTAGAAGCGCTAAACTTAAGATGACCGTCTAAAAGTAGGCCATCATGCTCAATCTACTCAAACACTCTACTACCTCACAGGAAGAAATGCACCACAAACATCACACAGTATGAGTGTATATATATATATATATATATATATATATATATATATATATATATATATATATATATATAATATGTGTGTGTGTGTGTGTGTGTGTGTGTGTGTGTGTGTAATATATATATATATATATATATATATATATATATATGACAGGCTACCGTTTTTTTTTTCTGCTACAGGCTGCTGTTTTTTTACCATAGCAGCCCCTACACATGTTTCTCAGCTTAGAATCACAGTAAACACAAAAGGTTCTTGGAATCTCAGTTTACCTCACTGTTTCTCCAGGATGAAGAGGAGGAGGAGGAAGACATTGACAGCTTGGTCAGCATGCACAGAAAGACTGTGGGTAATAGTACCACCAGCCTTCGGAGCTCCAGGGTAAAACGCTGAATCCTTATTTACTGTAGTTCTTGTTGTTTTATGTAAATTTGATTCATGTTAACATAATTTACATGAAAATATGTTTGCATTGTTACAGAGCACTCTGGGCAGTATGACAAGTGTGTACAGTGAGGCAGGAGATTATGACACTGTGGACGTGACGGGAGAAATCGTCTTCTCCCTTCACTATGATGAAGCGGCTCAGAGCCTGTCAGTTATGGTCAAAGAGTGCTGCGGGCTGGCTTATGCTGACGCTGCCAGAAAGAAGTGCAACCCGTTAGTATTCAAAATAGATTTGTTTTTATTTGTTTTAAACAAATTGAGAAGAATTCTACTGATTTTGATTTCTGCATAATTTAATAGTTGAGATGGAAGTCAGAGTGGTCTGATGTGAAATGGTGCATTAAAAAGAAACCTACTAATTTAGACTTTATGTTTAATGGTGACAGGAACCAGGGGTCACCATGTCTAATCATATCAATTTATTTGCTATCCAAAATGACCAAAGACGAGTGAGTTTTTGTGTTGGTGATGGTAAAACAGTGTGAAATATGAAAAAAAAAAGTAAGTTTCCATTGCATGCTGTATTGCATTAAAACACTCTGCATTTTATCCCTGTACCAAAATGGTTTAAAAAGTGTTTTAGGCCAAAAAACCTTGTCTTAAAACTATTTAAAACAATGGTTTATGCATCAGACAATGTATTCATAACCTTTTAATGTAAGAGCTTTCTGTGATGTAGCTTTTAGAGGCATTAAACTCTTTAGACATCTGGTTCCTATCACCACCACTATAAACAACCCTGACTTAGTAAGTTTATCTAGAATGGTGCATTTCACATCAAACGATTCTAAATTACTTTTTTACATTTTAACAATTTAATTATACACATATAAAAAATGGTGGAATTCCCCTTTTAAGCATTGTTGTCTAGTATTCCTCCTATTTTGTGCAACTCATCAGTATGTTGTTAAGAACCCCAACTGGGGAAATTCTCTACTCTCAGCCAAGCAGTATAACTTTCCAGCTGTGTAACCTACTTTAAGATGCTCTGGTTCCAGAAGGAAAAGTAATCAGTTGTGTGGATGGGGGTAGACTCCCTCCACCAGAATGCTGAATAGAATTCTGCTTTCATCCCATAGATATGTCAAGAGCTACCTTCTACCAGACAAGTCCCGTCAGAGCAAGAAAAAAACTGCTATCAAAAGTAAGACTATCAACCCCAGCTACAACGAGACCTTAAAGGTATTGCCACATTTGTATGCTGCAGTATATTCAGTTTTTAAAAGAAATTGTATAGTATGGGTTATCATAATGCCAAACTTGAAGAAAGACTAGGGAATAAATACCATATCGCCTGACTCAGTGGTTCACAAATGTGTTCCAACTACCAAGCCCTTGTAAAACAATATAATTAGAATAGTGGCATATATATAAAAAAAAATATATGACACCATGTGTAACCTGGCAAATAGAATCGGACATACGCCCTTGATAACCAGGCGTGCTCGATAATGTACTTTCCAGGGTATGCATGAGGTGACCTCTGGCATATCATTATGATATTCGTACCACCGATAACTGTTATCTCTGAGACAAATATTGATTCTTATGACTGCTTTCTCTTTAATTCACAATAGTAAATGGGGCATGCATTTAAAATCCCAAGTTTAAAAGGCGTTTAGTGTAAACTGGTCCACTTGGAAAGCAAAGCCACATTTTGACACGCTCATTACCTCATTCATCACTCTGGATTAGGAGCAGATGTGTACACCTCCCTCACTTGTCCATTTTTTATAGTACTCCATCACTCGCTCCCAGCTGATGACTCGTATCCTCCAGCTGTCGGTCTGGCACTATGACCGTTTTGGGCGCAACGCGTTTCTTGGGGAGGTGGAAGTGCCACTGGACTGCCATGACATTGACTCTGCTCACGAAGAGTCTGTGGCCCTCAGGGGAAAGGTACTGGAACATGCTCTCCTAGCTCAAAGGTCTAATCCTTCGCAGTTCATTTGTTTTCATCTTTCTTCTGAGAGATAAAAGAGGAAACGTCTTCACATTCTCAATCTCAGTCTTTTGGTAATTTACAGGTATGCCATTTTAATTATGTTTCCCTCTCTTTATTAAATTTCCAGTATTAAATGATAGTCATCATTTCTCTTTGCAGGCAACCAACTCCTTGGCACAATCTGCTTTTGCCCAGTCCAAAGGAGAACTGGTGATTTCCTTAAAGTACATCTCAGAGAAAAAGACACCCGCAGAAAAGTCACGAGGTGAGAAAACTTGAGAAAGTAGCTTGTCACGACGCAACATTATCTTAGAACCGAGAAATAATCTCTGCCCCTTTTCTCTTCCACTCAGGCAAAAAGGCCAAAGTAGACAATGGTGGAGAGCTGCATGTGTTAATAAAGGAGGCCAAGAATCTTTCTGCAATGAAAGCAGGGGGCACTTCCGATTCGTTCGTAAAAGGGTTAGCATGACTGTCCCATTCTAAAGACAATTTCTTGACTTATTTCTTAAGTTTAATTTTAAGGGGCTTCAAAGGTGGGCCATTTTTGGGACGTTTTCCAGATACCTGCTGCCATCCAAGGGAAAGTCGAACAAGAAGAAGACGCAGGTGGTGAAGAAAACAGTGAACCCGCACTGCGACCACACGTTTGTTTACAAAGAGCTGAGTCTGGAGCAGCTGAAGGGCATGTGTCTGGAGCTCACTGTCTGGGACCGAGAGGCCATGTCCAGCAATGACTTTTTGGGGGGAGTCCGTCTGAGCTCAGGGGCAGGTGAGTGGACATAAAGCACCAGCTTTGTTCTGAATGATTTCTTTGTCATTAAAAAGGTTTGCATATTCTTTTAAATGTATAAACATGGACCTGCTCCAGCTAAGTCTTTGATTGGCTGGAGCAGATGTTTTGATGTAGGTATAGGGAGGAAGTAGAATGTTAGATGCAGGTTGGAATTCATATTTGCAGGAAAGTAGATCTCCAGGAGAACAGTAGGTGACCACTGTATTAGAGCATATACTGCATTTTTTCTGATAGTAATGCCACTTTAGCTGGTTGATTTTACATAATTATGCCACAAAAATATTGTGGTATTACTTCAGAATTGTGATTATTTGACCTTTAGACATAGCTATCTGCTAGAAATAACTGATGTTAAGTTGACAAATGCCCACAGTCCGGCTGAAGGAAAATAAGCAGGAGTGGGTGGCCGACTCTACAGAAGAGGAAGTGTCTCTGTGGCAGAAGATGATGCAGTTCCCAGACTCGTGGGCAGAGGGCACTCTCCCGCTGCGTTCCTCCATGGGCAAGGGCAAGTAAGGACACCCTCAAAAACCTGATGTCAACAACCTAACATAGGAGCAGGACACGTTAAACCTTTCAATTTAATGAAAACACTCAGACTTGCCATATTAAAGAGTAATAAACACTAAAGATGACCCCAAGGTTGTAAAGGAACAGTTTTAACATACATTTTAGTTGTACATTCACAAAAATATAATTTTATTTTTAAGAAAGTACAAACTCACAAGCCAGTTTAAACAGTTTAACTGAGTGGGGTTTTTAGAGCATGGCTGAGTATTTATTTTTTGTTACCTTTTCTATGTAAATACTTTTAAATTTCATATAATATGCAATAAATATTTCTTAAAGATTGCACAGAAAAATTGCTGCTTAATTTGGGTCCAGACAACTTTTTATTTTTGTTTTATTGCAATCATCCCTTATGACTGCCCTACAGTTGCATAACACCAAAACCTGTATGCTGAAATGCTAATTATTTGCCTTGTAATGATGCAATCCCAGTGAACACTCTGGGCACCATTTAAAAACCTATATACAAAGCACTTAATAAATATTAAATTACATTTTCTACTGTCCCTGTTGTCTGTAGTGAGTACAAAAATACTGGGGATTATGAAATACCCATTTATGTGTAAAGGTTTAAAAATGTAACCTATAAAAAGCACTAAAAGTCCATACAGACTGGCCATATGCTCAAGAAAAAGATGTTTTGAAACCATATGAATGCAATAGTAGCTAATGTAGTATGTCTACAAAGCACAGCTTTGCTCTTCACAGCCTTTCCTGTGTTGGGTGTTGATGTAGAGTTGATCGGTCAAGGCTCAGTCACAGAGGTCTCTGTTTAGCTCCAGCCTTTCTTGTTCCTCTTCGGAGAGCAGGTACTCCTCGATGTAAGAGTACAGCTCATCTGAGGTTGTGGGGTTAATGAAACGCTCTCGATCTACACCCATTTCATCCAACAAAACCATGTTGAAGTAGGATCGAGAGATCTGCAGAGCTTGCCTGTTGTTTACAGATACGTGACATAAACAAATGCATTACGGGACAGTTTTATCTTTAAGGCTGTAGACTTAGAATGTGGCAACTTTACATTTCGTTGTTTTCACCATCAATTGCAAAGCCATTCTGTGTGTAATCACTGTGTGATGCAGTAAATGTGTTGAAGCTTACCTGAGGCCCTCTATGACCTCAACATCTAAATACTGCTCTTTAATCCGGCCAACTTCTCGAGGTGGAGTTCCTAATAACTCGATCACAGTCACGTGTCGAAGATCCAGACCACATCCAGCTTTCTGAGAAAAAACATTTTGAGAGAATGTTCAATAATGACTGAACCCTCTATATTTCATATATAGGTTTATATATGATTAAAGTTCCAGACCTGTAGCATGATGTTCTGAAGCTTGTAGTATTGGTCAGATACGCTTGGGGTGGACACAATAAGAAGCCTTCTTTTCTCATAGAACTGGTCAAGCAGGGCACCAGCAGATCTGATGTCAGTTTTGATCTGCATCACTAGAAAAGGCACCATTTAGAGATCTATTAGAAAAACTAAACCAAATCTAAATCCTAATTAGAGAATATCTTTTCCCTCTCGTTTCCACTTAACACATACTCAATAACTGTTTGAATTGAACTGACTGAACAAAATGTATATTGTCGCTTTTAGGAATGTATCTATACCAATACTGATAGTGGGTGTTGTCCGCTACTGTTCTTATTTACTCGTACTTGACCATTTGCTACCAAAGTCTGTACATGCTGACTTTTACTCTGTTTGGCTGAATAGAATTGCGATGTATAAATCATTTTTATAAGTCATTTTTGTTTTAACCTTCTTAAGTGTAAAATAAGCTGTAGAGAGACTGTTTTGTCCTACCGTGTATATTTCAGTGCATAGTGTGGTTATCTATGCTTCTGTAGCACAGTTTCTCAGTTTGTTTGCTCAGTACTCAGGTACGCATGTTGTTTTGAATGAAACAGCTGTAATGATAATTGTCCATTGACAGAGCTGTCTGTAGAGGCTGCTTTTCACATAGCATGTCAATTGGACTGAGTGTTTTTGTACAGTGTGAGCATATAAATCACAGTCACCAAAGAACAATATTTCTTAAATTGTACAGTGTTTGTTTAGAACTACAGCTCAACCAGCAAAAAAGCTTCATTAAGACTGTCACTGTGCTACAGAGACTGTTGTTGAAAGAGACAGGTGAGGAGCATGAGAACAAACCTGTGAAACGTATTTTACTTGCAGCTGTGCAGAAGAGCTTTTATGACGTGGAACAAAATCCACTTTTCTCCACTGCAGCACTGCTTCATTTAAGGTAACTAATGTAGCATAGTTAGCTAATGCATGTTTAAAAGCAGCTAGATTTTAATTATTTAACCGTTAAGGTACATTGCACTCATTTGCACTAACAACTAATTAATTAGTAGGTAATTCATTATGGTATGAATTGGTTCATTATGGTATTTGCCTCGGCGATTACTCAAGAATAAGTACTCATACTAGTTCTGAAAATGGTATCATGCATCCCTAGTTGCTGTCCACAAAAAAGAAAATGTGTCCAAAATTGTAACTTTTACAGGCAAAGACAAAAAGGTCATAACTTTAAATGTGAGTTAATGTGAAGTGAATTCCAAGTAATTTTGGACCATTTCTGTTGGGCCAATCACAATTAAATTTTCACACAATGTAAAGAGCAGCTTTATTCAAATTATGAAGAGAAATGGAAATAAAAAAAAAAAAAAGATGACATTTAACTACACTGTATACACACTTTAAAGCAACTTGAAATGCCAGTAATCATGAAAGCAGTCAAATTATATTCTGCATTAAAATTAAATCAAATGTCAGTAGATTTGGATAAAGTGAGTTTGCCAGGCTATTTAATCCCTGGTGGTATGTGGTACTCACAGACACATTCAGGTGCTTGGTCTGACCAACTGCGGTTCAACAGGCAGACCCGGGTATCAGTGCCTCTCATCTCGTAGCCAGCATCACAGTGGTATTCGCACACAGCTCCATAGTTATTTCCATCAGACGAGCAGGTCAGATATCCATGCAGAGGTTCCTTCAGCACTGGACATCTCTGCACTGGGGAGAAGGAAGCAATCAGTTCAGTTCATACAGCTTATTGGTAAGACACTGTATTTAGCTTGATGTGGCTTTTCAAGAGCTTAAAGGGGCTGACAATGTATTTGATTTCAGTTAAGAGATTCTAGTACTCTTGTGTTTCCTTTGTTGGATTTTAGTTGGATGTGACTACATAGGGGTGGCAAAGGAAATGCTGAATAAATGCATGGTGGGCAAGTGCATGTGTGAATATGTTTGAAAATGTTTTAATTTAGTTAACTATCAAGTCATGTTTTTTTTTAGTATCACAAATAATATTGCAAATATTATTATTAATAAAAATAAATTATAGAACAAATAAATTAACAGCCCCTTTAAGAGATATTAAGGGAGTGTCTGGTTTGTCCAGTACATATGTTGCTAGTAAAAAGATCAGCCCTGGTTCTGCTGATGTACCTTCAACTCGCACAGTAAACTTGCAGGTTGCCATGTTGCGGGCCTGGTCATAGACCTTGAAGCGAATCACATGTTCCCCCTCACTAAATTCTGAACCTGATTCTGGTCCATTTCGTAAGACCCTACAAATTAATTAATGAAAAGTCTTAGGTTTATGGGTCTCATGTTTACAAATCTGTTATAGTTTTGCTAGCAAATGTGGTATACATACTGCAGTGATCTGTCAGCAGTATCTGTGGCAACAGGTCTCTCCCACGACACCCTGACGGTAAGTTTTCCTGGTTCTGCAATCTTCACTCTGGACAAAGGACATTTCAGTTTGGGAGGGTCGTGATCTGAAACAGTTAAAGTTGGGTAGAACATCAACAACCGCTTTCTCTTTTTTCTTGGGAAAAAAATGAAGACAGCTCTATAATGGAACGGTAGCACTGCTAAATCTGTTTGCCTCAGAGTTTATGGGGTGATCTCTTGGATAGATGAAACCTGCTAACCAGCCTGAAAAACACATTCCTGAGTTTAGCATACAACACTAACTGACTATTGAATCAAATAATGTACAGTTTTTATTATCACTGCATGCTTTTATACTGTCAATGGTATGATTATGTGACTATCCAAATGTAGCCCAACTTATACCTGCACAGGTGGGCTCTGCTCCACTCCATGTCCCCCCTTCCTGGCAAATGCGATAACGGTCCCCTTCAATCTGGTAACCTTGAAAGCAGGTATAATCACACCTGGAGTCGACCACAAAGCCATTGGTACAGGTGTAAGTACCTTGCTGGACCAGAGGAAGCACAGGACAGCGCACCCCTGAGAATCAGACAAAACATAAACATGTATGAGCTTATTTGAGAAGGCCTTCAGAACTGAAGCTATCATTAGACAGTTCCAGAGTTAGCTTTGCATTCATGATTATTTTGGGCGAGATATGACTGACTGACAAACTGATGACACTGACCAAAAGAAGGACATTTTATGATTTTTATGGAAATGCAACACAAATTGACACAATGGATTCAGTTTTGCTTCAAATAGTGTGAGATTCACAAAGTGTAAATTTGATTGGATAAAATTGAGAAAGCTCTCTGCTAAAAAAAACAGCTTAGACCAGCATGAATTCCATGATCATGCTGGTTATCCAGCATACCAGAATCCAAAACACAACATATCACTGCTGTCGAAACAAAACCTCAGATCTCCGAAAAGATAACTTTACAGGAGAAGAAAAAAACATAGTTTCTTTTAAATGTAAGTCAACGGAACCAGATTTTTTTCCAAATAATTTTGGGCCATTTCTTTGGGTCTATTCATCATAAATTTACACACAATTTAAAGGGCAACAGGCATTTATAAAAGGCTTTGTTCCGGCAGCAATATGCTGGTTTTATGGTGACCAGCTATGCTGATCTATGTTGTTTATTCTGGCAGGGATTATGTCACATCTAAGTACTTAAATGACACATCTTTAAAATCACAATAAAATTGTATCATGACCTAAATATGATAAGACTGAATCTCATCCCTAATATCTTGGCCTATGGAGTTTACTTACTTCGGCAGTGAGCGGTTCCTGACCAGCGACGGTTGGCCATGCATTGCACAGACAGTCGTCCCAGCAGTTTATAGCCCCGTTCGCAAGATAGCAAGCAGCGTGTGCCCAATGAGCTCCGATGGTTTCCACCTCGGGGGGAGGAACATGTCATCTCTCCATTGGGTAGTTTAAGTGTGTTGCACCACTGTGGGTCTACCAGATAAATGGACTTGGAATGAGGTGAAAAAAGCACTATCTATGAATATCTAAACCAAAATTGAGGCAGTCAGATCTCTTGCAGATTGAAAATGACAATAATGCAATAAAATTAATTGAGTTCATTTAACATTAAGAAACAAGTCCAACTTGAGATAAATTGCTGTTTTTTAAGACCAGATTATTACTTACGTTTATAGTCCAACATTGGAGTGTAATGTGTCTCCTGCTCTTGCTCAACCTCATTATAGCTGTTATGATGCATGTACCCAGACCCTGAGCCTGTGGGTAAATAGGTTTTGTGACAATATTATAGATATGAAAGTGATTTTAACACATTGGATTTAAAAGAAATTCAGCCTCAAAGCAAAGGCATTTCAGGTCTTTTCAGTGTTAAGGTTACATTAAAGGAGTTTTAAAACCCCCACACACTTGCATGCACAATTAGAGAACAGAAGAAGGCCAAGATTCACAAAAGCTGATTCTATTTCCTGTATACTCAGTGGCACCAAATTGCACCGTGGGGTCTTGGTGAAGAAACCAAGCATACACAGTAAACGCCCATTTTCCATTTAGAGTTTCCAAGCATTATTGTTCAGAGCATTGGCCAAAAATCTTCAGTTTCTGCTATATCATTAGTATACTGTGACTTGAAAAATGGAAAAAAATCCCCCCCTTTAGTTTCCACAGACCACATTCACCATCATCATTCTTTCCTGTCACACTGTTGTTCTTGTTTCATGTACAGTATGACTCGCCCAAAGCTCTTAGAAAAGCACTGGAAGAGGATTGCTTCTTGTTGTAAGTGGCAGTACAATGGACATATTATTTGAGTGAATACAGGAAGTACATTTTAGGCATCTTGTTTTGGCACAAAGATGAAATCTAGAAGGTTTCCAAAAGAAACAACTGTGCCACGAGTCCCTTCTCTCAGCATATTAATGAGGTATCTACTGTAGGTAAGTTTGATCAAGTAAACAAAAACAATTTTGTGTAGAGCTGGCAATTACAGACCAAAATCCAAACACACAATAATATACATTGGTGTAAATTCAATTAGTGCTGCAGGGTTAGTGACTTCCAACAGTGCCATTTTTCTGGGCAGAGGTCCCAGAAAGATTTGTTGTGGCTTAGCAGTCTCATAAGAGAGTGAATCTGGATTTTACATGCCCCATCTTGAAGAGACTAAGAACGAAATATGGCTTAGAATGACCCAACCAAAACATACTGTATAGTATTTACTTGTCACTATTATACAAACAAGAAAATATCCTTCAGCTGGAAACAAATAATGACATTCCAGAGGTTTGGGTAACAGCCCCTGTCCCATCTGCAGTAAATTCAAAACCGGGTCTCTAATGCTGCATGTTTGGGTTTTGCAAAGCTTACTAAGCAGACAATAATGACGGTTTCTTTGGAACATTAGTGTAAATGTTTGAAATGGCCTTTCCTCTCCCAACGCCCCACAACCACATTCTTCTACCAGTGTCAGCCTCCCACATCCCACAATGTTCATGCATATCTGTAACCACAATGCTGGTGAGCCAAGTGTTTCATGATTTCTAAATGGAAGAAATCCAGATCTAATGTATTCACACACCACTGCATATGTGGAAGAAAATTAACATGCACCGCAGGCAAAACTAAGAAATTGAAATGCTCTTCACCTGCACTGCAAAAAATTGAAACTTGTCTGAACAAAGAACAAGAAAGAATTCCAGGCCTAAATACTTAATAAGTGGAAGAATATACCATATCATTCAAAACAGTACATGTCCTGTATGGCCCACAGATGTAGTCTTCTCTGAAAAGCCATGAGTAATACAGAAAGCTAAAGATCAGACTCTCAGCACCAACACTCAATGCCAGTTTTCCATGTTCTCAAAACAACTGGAAACACTCTGTCTGATGACTGAGATGTTGTAAAATACCAAGACTCTGACACAGCCTGCATCAATAATGAGCTTTAGTTGACTGTGGTTCCCATACCTGGAGAACTTAAAGTATTTATGAGCTTAAAATCATAAATATTTTTATTCAGCTACAAAACATTTGTAATTTTGGTTTATTTGTCTCCTCCGTAAATAGTATTTTTTTTAGCATAGTCTTTACCACATTGCTTTAAAGTGACCTTAGGAACTGACCATCTTCAAATAGCCAAACCAGGCTCCGTCACAGCTGGTGTGTGTCCACCCTCACTAATCCAGCCAAATAGGAACCACTCAGTTAATTACAAGGGTTGAAGTTTGGATAACATGGTACATGTTGTTAAAGGCTTTGGGAGAAACAGTGATTTACAGTGATTCTACTCTATTAGGAGACTGACCCTTCAGACAGAAATGACATATATTGGCTCCATAGAGAAGGATCAGTTCAGTTTCAGTGCAAATTCAAGTGTATTCTAACATTAAACGCCAGTGCTCCCTTCCTAAAAGAAAATGTCAAGCACTAGATATTCCCTTCTGCTTAGTCTGCTGCTTAGTAGTGCTTTCAAATACACACTTGATATGATGTTTCCTTTCAGGACTCACTCATTTCCTTAAGTTCTTCACAAGAGACTGCAGTCACATTCACCACTGCACTGTCTGACAGTGAGGCTTTTTCTGCGACTGGAAGAAACAAAAAGGATGAAACTGATTCTAAGATTAAGCGAGGAAGTCTTAAGGCACCTCATAAAACATCCATTACTGTGGAAGGCGCTAATATCCTGTTTCAGAAAATCTTAACTTACTTAAACTTAGTGGAATGAGGTTAAATAAGTTAAGATCGTATCTGAAATGAGCAGGTTCCCATGCATTCTGTCACAAGGTACAGATAAACCCAGGCACAGACGGTTTTCATATGAGCCTAACAGAAGCATTTCCCAAAGAAGAAGTCTTTCCCGAGGTTATGATAGAATGAACGAGACGAGCGCAGCAGGAAAATGAATCGAACATATCAGCTCTTGCTTTTCCTCACAGTTTTCGCTACTTTTTAGTTCTGCTAGAATCGAATTAGCACAGAATTTCCTCAGTAAGGTTACTTCACCGACAGAACTGGTTCACTACGTAGCTGCGTGCTGTAGTCTCAGAAGACGGTATCTTACCTTCATTATTCAGTCCCAGAATTTGGCAAATCGCGGACAGTTCAAAAAGCAGAAGGACGTGAAGTATTTTCATAGCCCCAGTAAAGAAAGAAGAGTCAGTGTGGAAAAATGTGGCGAGTGCTGAGTGAAGCGCGGGATGGAGGCTCCGGGCTCGAGACGCTGAGGAGAAACGCGCGAGGCGAGCTGAGGGGCGAAGAGTTCGAGCGCAGCGCTGCTGCTGGATCAGCGTTTGGAGAGAAAACAGTGCAGAGTAATGACGAGGCAGCAGCAAAGCAAAAAAAAAGACTGGAAGCTCCCCCCGTCACAGGCTGGGGTTAAGGTGAATTCAGCTGAAGTGAGACATAATTTAAGAAACATAAAAACAGTCCAAAACTCAGTACAGGTGATATTCCTTTCATTTAATTTGATATAACTCCATCTATATACTGATAAACTGGTATCTAAACTGGTACCCACTAAGGGCCGCTTCTGCCTGAAAAGATCCCGTCTCTGACCAATGAGATAGTTGGAGAGATGAAGTAGTATTATCAACTGCCCATTACCAAAAATGATTAAACATTTCACACACATGTTGGTAATAGTTTGAAGAAAAAAAAAGAACAATTTCATATTGTTTTACAAAACTACAGCGTTAACACTCTACAATATGACATTTTACACCTCTATTGGCACGCTTATATGAGCTTTTCTGATACATTTGATTTGCTTTAAAATACAGCCAAGTCATCAGTGACGATACCACTTCAGTCAAGAAACATTTATTCACAGTCTGCATCATCTGAGTAAGACTGTCATTGGATGACAAAAGCAAGAGTCACTGAGCTCAAATGTCCCTTAATGTCCCTTAACTTGTACTAACCCTACAGTCCGTCCTAACTGGAAAAAGCAGAGTTAATTATAATAAAACTGGCATTTTGAATGAAATAATGACTTAAATACAGAAAATAATTCTCCTGTAGAAAAAAACCTACTAATTACACAGACCAGATTACTTAGTTCTTCTGCCCTGATTTTTGATATTTTAATTTTAATAGTACACTTATGCGTACCCAGACTTCGGTAACAAATGTTTTAATGTCTGTAAAAATGCTGCTTTAACAGCAAACGAAAAAAGTCATGACAAAACTGTCATTTTCCTTTTATGGCAGACTAAAATGTAGTTTATATATTTTGTTGCGTACTTTTTTGTTTTTGTTTTTTAATGTTTTACAAATGACAAAGAACATTTCATAAAGGAGAAGGAATTGTGTCCATAAAAATCAGAAAGATTCCCAGTATTCCAGGATTCTCAGTTTCCAAACCCTGATACATGCACACACGTTCAGTTCTTCAGTCTTGATGTGTGTCTGTATTTTTGGTGTTAATAATGAGGCCCTGGCCCACTTTATAGGCTCCTTCGTGTCTGTTTCACACAGAACGTGTTGACCATAATGAATGGACTATGATGAACTGATGTGCTGTGAGGGGACAAACTCTTTACTTTCTTTTTCTCGCTCTGCTAAAAGTTAAGTAAAACGATTATAAAGCTCAGCCGCTCGAGTCAAGATCTTTATTCGAAGTGACAATTCTGTCTCCTCACCGGAAAGTAAAAGCCTTCGATCGCCTACGACATTTCCTTTCTACAAAAGTTTTCCAGCAGGAAAAAGTCCTGAAGTTTTCCTCCCCCCTCCGAGCAGCGAAAACCCAGCCAGTCGCCAGCACGACCAGATTTAAGGAACCGAAATGTCTCCTCCGTCTAGAAGACTGCAGACCAAACCAGTGATAACATGTTTGAAGACCTTTCTGATATCTTACAGCCTTATATTTTGGGTGAGTTGTGTCTTTTTCAAGTTATTTACACGGTGAAAATTGCAGCTTTACTAAATTAAACAGTTAGCTAGCGGAGTTAGCCTAGCTGAGCTAGCCTGCACTGTGAAGAAAACAATGAGCGGAGCTGCGTTAGCTCACAGGATCTGCAGCAGAAACAGCAGCCATGCACTCAGAACAACAGCTGCTTGACGGATTTTTTAAAACTTGTTTTGATATTTGAAGGAAAAGCCAAAAGGTACCATCTGTTCTGTGAGACTGTTTTTGCAGCTCACTAATTTGATGGTCATCAGAGATGATGGAGGAAAGATTCGCCTCTTTTGTGGTTGATGTTTAACTGGCTAGCTGTATCCTTGTTTTTGTTCTTCTCTTCATTTTTTTAATACGAAGTAGCCAACAGGTGGGGGTTGGCCGGCAGAAGTGACCTTCTAGATTTGTGAAATCGATATGTTCTTGCAAACCTTTGTACTTTTTGTGGACAGTGTTTACAGTCGAAGGTAGAATGACACGTTTGAAAAAACGGTTTGCTTTGTAACTTGTGGCCCCTCTTGTAACTTGTAGTTTTTCCAAATGTGTTTGTATGTTGTGAAAAAGGCAGGTTCCTATGAGTGTTAAAGAAAGAAATCCTTAAAAATGCTAATAAAGTATGTAACGTGGTCTTAATTGGGTCAAAATCCAGGGCAGCAGTTATATCTCTTCTATTTATTGCTCTTCGCAGTATGCCAGATGGTCTGATAAGAAGAAACAAACTGAGCACCATGTTTAGATTGAATCAGTCAGGCCCTTGAATTCACAGTTGATATTAACATTAACAAAAAATAACTCATGATTATTTTCAGCAAGATACTTAAACTGAGTATAATAGCGGTGAAGTGGTGTAATTACAGTGTTTGCAAGGGTGCCATCAAGAAAGGGTTAGGACACAAGGCGTGAATCATCACGCACAGGGAAATATAAAAAGAAAGATGTGTTTCTGAATGTTTCTGCTTTTTCTCAGTTCACAGGGGTGATCCTGTTGGCAGTTGGCGTATGGGGAAAAGTTAGTTTGGAGTCCTATCTTTCTCTGGCCTCAGACACAAGCACCAACGCACCATATGTCCTCATTGGCACAGGAGCCATCATCGTCATCTTTGGCCTGTTTGGTTGCTTCGCTACCTGCCGTGGCAGTCCATGGATGCTTAAACTGGTCAGTCATAAACTAAAATGAAAATGCTGTGAATATTATACACATGGTAGGATGACATTAAATGATTTATGATAGACTGTAGACTCCTAATTTTTATTCACCAAATTGACATTACACTGTTTAGTATTTGTCTTATTTACTGTCAGAAGCCAGAGTTTCTGATATACATTTTTTTCTCTTGTTTTCTTCTTTATTGTAGTATGCTATGTTCCTGACTCTGGTGTTCTTGGCTGAGCTTGTGGCAGGCATTTCAGGCTTTGTTTTTAGACATGAGGTGACATATTGACATATTTGTGTTGAATGTTTATACACCTATGACATAAAATGCTCTTGATACTCATGGCCATTTTCTTAATTAGATCAAAGCTGAACTTAAAGATGCCTATTGGAAGGCTGAAAAAAACTACAATACTACGGACAGCAGAAGCCAAGCGGTGGATTCCATCCAGAGAACTGTAAGCATTTTTGACTCAACCAGAAAAGCTGTAGAACTTCCAGCAAACCACACTGTGTTCACTTTTGTCTTTACACTTACTTCTTAAATAATAGTTCATGTGGAAAACTTCGCTGTCGTTCAGTGTCATTTTTTTTAAACACTAATGTTTTATGGTGATCCTTGCCAAAATAGCTAATTTACAGCAGATGATGATGAAGGGGCAAGCCAGACTTAAGTATTTATTCTACTTTCTCAGCTGTATCTCTCTAGCTTGTCCTTGCCTACTGTAATCCTATCATTGATGGTGTACTCATGTTTTATACAGCTGAAGTGCTGTGGGGTGCATAACTACACTAGCTGGGCAGAGACGGCATACTTCAAGCAGAATGGCATTCCCCCAAGCTGCTGTATGCCACTGGCTAATTGCACCCCTGAAAACCTCAAAGACCTCAAGTTGGCTGAGACCGTGGTATACAAACAGGTATGAGAACAGTCTCCAGTCTATGAACATGGGTCAAATTATTACTGTTATTTTAGCAGTCCTTTTTTTAGCTTCCTTTGTTGTTAGTTAATATTAGAATGGAAATTTAAAATTAGATCAAAAATATTATATGTGAAATTAGACATTTGTATATTATTTATATGTGCTGTTGACATTTTATAAATGATTAAGAAATAGAATTTGGGAGTAATTAAATCATTAAGTTAGAAAATAATATTAAAACAACATTTAAAAGTTACTTTTATTCCTGACCCAGGGCTGTTTCGCTCTGGTGACGACTGTGTTGGAAGCTAATCTGGGAATCATTGCTGGGATATCTTTTGGAATAGCATTCTTCCAGGTAAAAATGTATTAATGTTAAATTACTTAAAAGGCACTCTGGACATGTGCTAGTCTTAACCCTTCCAGATAGATTAATGTGGGACCCAATACATCTGACATTCACTAGTACTACATTAGGGGTAACACATAAAAATACAATGGGTTCTTGTCTCCATGAACATTTATGTCTACTAATCTGTTTTGACTTCCTTTACAGCTTATTGGTGTATTCTTGGCATGCTGCTTGTCTCGCTACATCACCAATAACCAGTATGAAATGGTGTAGGAATCTCAGGTATGTGTGTCTGTCCTAATATAGTGGTCAAAAGTAGTCTGAGACACTCACTGAATACAATTTATGTTTTGTTTATTTAAACCTTTCCCAGTTAGATTCATCATTTATTTAGTTGTATCCATCAGAAAGTTCTAATAATGAGCAATAACAACCAGGTTTACTTACTAACTGAAACAAAAATTATAAAATATAAAGTAATTAACTGAAAATAGGAGTAAGGCAAGTAAAAGTACTTCAACATTAGTGGGACAAACAGTGTCTATTTTCTTAATGTAGGTCAGTATTTAGCACTTTATTAGGTTAATATTTTGTTGTATATCCCTTCTTTTGGATGGTGGCATGGAGACTTTTAGGCATTGAGCACATACGTTTGTCTCTTTTCACAACTTTAGTACATTTTTTCACTCTCAGTTTAGGCATTTTCACCCTATCTGGAATCTTTCTCACAGACATTTTATTACCAAGAGACTATATATATATATATATATATATATATATATATATATATATATATATATATATATTTTTTTTTTTGGTCAGATTAATTCAACTACATTTTCAGGTTTTCTAAACTTCTTTATGTTTCCATATGTCAATGAAATTTAGAGTCTGTTTTGCATTAGTTTTGAAATAAAATGGTGGGGTTAGGTGAGCTCAAAGTATTGATTGGTAAGTCATAATATAGATGAAATGATGTATAAACAAATAAAATAATAAAAGAAAAATTGGTTGTCCCAAACTACTTCTGAGCACTATATGTTTAATTATTTTCCCTGAAGTTTGTAAAAGTCATTCATTTGTGTTTGACAGTATAAATGAAGTATGTTGACACAGCTGTTATTAGTTCTCATTTCCTGTCATTCTTGTGTGTTTGTAGGATGCAGACGTGAAGTCACTCAAGATGGCATTTGACACAAAGGGAAACCATATACTTTTAGTATAGTGTGCGCATGTCTTACTTTAATCCATTTCATTTTAGAAAATCCTCCAGCTGCTTTTAAAAAAATAATGTTTTGTCATTGACAACTAGATGGAAGGGAAAGAATTATTTTGCTAGGTAAGGGATCATATATTTTCACAATGGTTCATCATGATACAATTACGTGTGTTTTGTAGAGTGTTAATGAAGTTTAAGAAGTAGAAGGGTGTAGCATGTTGCAAGTTTAAGCCATTGTTAAACCATCAGTGTCTATTGTTGGTGGTGCAACAGATAATGTACACATTGATAGGTTTATCTGAATTAGTTGGTATTAACATGTGCTAAAACTCTGAATTTAGTATTCGTTAGTAAAGTTTTTCTCAATGTTCTGAATTGCAAATTGTTGTTAACATTGAAATGATGTGAACTGAGGGAGACCAGTTGGGTTAAATAACTAAGTGATGTTATGATGTGGCCTTGTAAGCCCCAGCCTTATTTCACATAATAATGCCTTACAAATGTTGAGCTGTTTTCAAGGGTCAGCATTTAATATACATAGAGGGTCCACTGACTTTGTAAAAATGCTGTGGTTTTTTTCTTGGTGTGTCTGAATGAAAATAATTGTATGATAAATATATGCATTGCTTTTGTTAATTAACAAATGGCTTTACTGTAGTAATCTAATAGAAAATGCACACTCCCTGTAACTCCCAACGAAGACGACCACACCTGACCTGAGGGTGGGGAAGACGTCTCTTTCTGAAAAACATTCCTGTAGTTTTGTGCTTTGTGTGTAATACAAATACTAATAATGATAAAAAAAAATATTGCTCATTTTTAAACACTGGTATTTTTTCCCAACCCTCCTTTTCCAGCATTTAAGACTGAATTGTACTCTGGTCACAACATTTCATGGTCATATATGTCTGAAGGATCAGTTAACCTTTAAAGCATGTTCACTTTGTAGCCTACATATCTTTCTGTACAAATTCAGTGTTAATAGTTTGTTGTTCAGTTGTGGAAACAGCATGTAAAATACTTGAAAAAAATAAACAAACGTAACTTATTTGACGGGGTTGTGTGAAATCACTTACCGAACTAAGACACTAACTACAGTGCTCGACCATTACCTCTGAGAGGAAAAATGTTCAGCAGTAAGTCGATATCAAGCCTGTGTGCCAGCGCTCGTTTCTCAACAGGTTAGCGTCCCTAACTGTTCTGAAGAAATGCAGCAGGTGGCAGCATTAAGCCATGTCTGAGCACTCGGACACCATTAATTATGTTCCTTTTTTAGGAATTTATGGGAATGCATCATCAGATATGTAATTCAGTCGATTGACTGAATTACACTGGTCCGTGTTGAAAAGCAATATAGGAATATAATCTCAATTCGAAGGTTGTACAATAGGCTAAAATCGTGATTGGCTAGTCTGACTGTCTGTCATACACTAGCTTCTCTTTCATTGGCTGAGCCCGCCCCCGCTGCTCGACTGCATTATATAAAGCTCTCAGCGGCTTCTGCAGCCGGCAGAAGAGGGCATCGGGTCTCGTGTCTGGGCGGTGTGAGGAGCTGGCGAAGCGCAAATCTGACCAAACTCTGAGAGGAAAATTGGTTCAGTCACCGGTTTAATCCAGGTTAGTCGTGGTTGTTCTTCATTTACTTTTTCTGTCCTGTTTCGTGTTCTATTGTGAGCTGCGTTGCTCAGTGTGTAGCAGGATGCATGCTCCTTCGTGTGTGCTAGCAGGCTAGGCTGTGTTTATACAATGCGAGTTTACTCTGAATGTGCATATTATTCACTATTATAACAATATTTATTATTAGTAGATGTAGTATTATTTGCCTGTAAATCTGGTAACGGACCCTCAGGCTGCGGCTTTCACTCTGACGCCCAAAAGGCAGAATTTACTAACGTTAACTCTTGTGCTTCTCTCAGTCAGTCTGCATGTCTGATGCACTGATGTGGTCTCTCCCCAGGATCCACCAGTCTCCTGTTAAACTTCACTTGTCTACTGGTATAACTCTACAAACAGCCTCATCATGATGCAGATCTGCCAGGACTCGTACTGTAATAAGCACTCGCTGCTGAACGTGATGAACCGCTTCATAGCGGCGGCTAACAACATGGACGAGACCATCATGGTGCCTAGCCTGCTGAGGGACGTCCCCCTAGACGAGGAGGACGAGGCCTCTATCACTCAAAACAACAATGAAAACGAGCCCACCTGTCCAAGCAAACAGAGGGACATGTACGAGCATTACCTGCTGCTCAAGTCCATTAAGAATGAGATGGAGTGGGGCTTGCTGAAAAGGGAGATGACTGGTGGGGCCAGCTTCCTGGAGATGGCTGTGAAGCAGGAGGAACAGCAGGTAAATGGAGGGCCAGCTGAGGACTGCTCTGATCTAGAGAGCCAGTTCCACTTTCACCTCCGTGGACTCTTCGGGGTGCTGTCCAAGCTGACTGTGCAGGCTGACCACCTCACAAATCGCTATAAAAGAGAAATCGGTGGTGGCAGTCTGCTAAGATAGGAACAATGACAGACCTGATACTGACTTATTGCTGAAGCTCTTTTTTCCCTGGGAGGTAATGGACAAGCACTGGACTAAGCGAAAGACCCAAGATGACCTCTTGGGCTATTTAAATTTGATTTGATCTCTTTCTGAGCAGTGATGCTCCTAAACTTTGGTCACTTTCCAGCTACACTACTAGTCATGTGTCCTGCTCTGATTAGAGTTAAACTGAAACTGTGTGAGTTGAAAAAGGGCAATGAAAGTAAATCTTGTTGCTGTTGAAGTCTTGTTCTGGCCTTTTCAAGTCCCTTTATTTCAGAATGTGTATTAGATGGCCACCTTTATATGATGCTATATGGCTTTAAAAACCTGCTGTAGATGTGGTAAAGTGGTCATTCAGAGTTTGGGATTTGTTGGGGAAACCTTGAATGCTGGTAATTCTGTTTCTTCCTTTACATTAACCTGAATTCTGTAGTATTTAGTTTGGTCAACTCTGCTCAAGGAGCTTTAACAAGATTCATTTTAGTCTGCTGGTCTTCTGCACTCCTCAAGCAGAAACAGTGCCTTGTTTTCACATAAGGGATGCATTTCCTGCTCATTGTATCAGTCTGGCCTGTCAATGTTTGTTACTACTTTATTTTAAGGATTGTTTTTGTTCTAAAATATTTCTAATTTTATATGAATTGTAATGCAGTATGGAATATTAAATAAAGTAGACTTTTTTTTTACATTGGTATTGTTCTCTTGGAAATGTAAGCATGTCTCCAGCTCATCTGGGTAGTATTGCAAATCCTCAGATTATTTGAAGGCAGTGGCAGTCTAATCCTGAATGGAGGCCCTGCGTCTTTTGCTAATCTGGTTTAGTAAGATGTGCATTATGCCTTCATGAAATGCACCATTCAACTGGCATGTTTGAACCTGAATGCTGTCTCCTGAATGGTTGTCATTATACACACCCTGAATCATACTTAAGGCTCTCTGATCAAAACCCACAATCCAAACCTTATTCCTAGTAGCATTTATCTCTTAGCTACTGTTATGTAACTAGGTTGGAGTGAAGCCATTGTTTTGTAGCACATTTTGAATGGTTCATCTCTAACCACTCGTTTGCTCTTCTGATGTGCAATTTGAGATCTGGTGTTTCTTGTAAAGTCTGTCTTGAGTCAACAAATCCACACATGAGAACAGCTGCTTGATTCTTCTAGCTAGAAATTAGTTTAGCTGTCAGGAGGAACATGAAGGGTGATATGAAAAATGCAATGTGTGTTGGGACTGGAAGTTCTATAACAAACTGAAGAGCAGAAGGCTTCTTGGCTAGTATACCTTCTTGTAGTTTTCCCTGGAAGCCTGAGGTGATTGCAATTTACTCCTGCCACTAAATTTGTGTTCATATCCCATCACGCCTGGCTTAGCAGCACAGGGTGCAGATGGGGATTTATCATGTTCATAAACAGGACTGGCCTGGTCTTCCACTCCACACCTGAGTCATTCTCCTGGTACTTCCCCTTAGCAACAGTTTTCTCAACTGTGGCCAATCAGATAATGTTTTTTCCTTTCCCACTCCAAGGCACAATGGTGATTAAACAGTGGAAGGTTGGGAGTAAGGAAAATAAAGGCCCACAGAGCATTCAAAAACAAACTGACCCCGGTGACTGCAAGGGTCAGAGCCACCATAAAGACTGCAAGCTGATGCTCACTTCATCTTGATTGCAGCATGACATCAGAAAACAATCTGTCAAAGTTGGTCAAACCATGTGTCCACTCAAGTGAACTAGGTCACACACCATTTCACGCAAACCAGGCCAGGCGCTCAAGAGCAGATCGGCGTAAACTATAGAACATAAACTGATAAGTGGAAAATGGGTAAGTCTTCTACTTCTTACATTGCAATTCATTAGAGTACTGTGCAAGTCAGACACCATCTTTTCACTTATTTAATTTCTTGGCAAAATGGCTATTAAGTACAATTTATTCATTTTCAGGAGATATTTCTGAGGAGCTCAGGTATAAGGCAATCCCCTAGCAGAATGAAGGGGAAAATGAAAAGAAAATAAGTTGGGAAAATACACATTTCCAAAACTGGAGTTGAAAAAATAAAAGATATACAAAAAACGCGACTCCTAACAACCATGCAAGACCTGATCGACCACAAAAACTGTCATCATCAGATAAACAGGTCTTGTATCTTTGAGATGAAAATCAAGCTCCACTCTTGCTTCAGATTAGAAAAAAGTCCACAGGTGTTTTTGTCCAAACTTCCACTCAGAAGACAATTCAGTGCTATGGGTCTGATAGGATGTGTAGCTGTCAAGAAGTCATTACTGAGAGAAGGAAACAGATAAAGAAGAAAGACTAAGACTGAACTTTGGAGGTATGGAAAAATATCCCTGCAGATTTCTTTGAAAAACTGAAAGCAAGCCTCCTGAAAACAATGGTGGCTATAATAAAGGTTCAAATTTTAAAGGTTAAATTAAGTTTTCTGTTAAGTATATGTTTTGTTCTTTTTGGAAGCTGAAGAATGAATAACATACTTAATGACTGTCTTGACTGTATTTAAATAAATGAAGGGCCACCTTTGCTTTTTGCACAAAGCAGTACATGTTATTCTGGTGCTCTGAAAGAACTAGTATTAAGTACCTTGTTACAATTTTGGTTTTGTTTTCCAGTTACATTTAATAAGTTAATCATACTATTTAAACATGCAAATAAACGCATGTGTTTTTAATATGTGTGTTTACTGCACGTTGTATTTTTATCATCCCATACTAAGAAGCGGGAACCAGTGTATAAACACTTATACTGCAAAATATGACACTCAGACATCATTACTGGGAAACTGCCACTGAGTCACGTTGCATCTCACTTCCCATCTGTACCCTGCAAAACATCTGAAACTAGATCACAAAGATACTTATTTCTAGTGACTACACAGCATCTCTTGGATCTCATATGTTTTGAAGGATCCCCAACTTTGCCCTATTGATGCTGATGAAATAATTTACAACACAGTGAATTGAAAGTGTTTCAGCATTGCAACGGTCATGTTTAAAGGTACATTTTTATGGATGTGACATTTTACTGTCTGGTCAGATGCAAGCAATCTTAATCTGAGTTCAACAAGCTAGACTAAACTGATTATTGCCATATTTGTCTTAGATACAGAATCTAAAAGACAGGATACTTGTTTTTTAAGATTCTGAATTATAGACATTGCCCAATGGATAATAAAACCTATTTTGAGTGTGAAATGACTTCTTGTTTTTGTTGTTGGTTTGTTGTTGTATTGATGAGATGCACTGTATGTGTCACAGTTGTATGAAAAGGTCATCACAGCATGATCCTGTTCTTTGGTGAGTATCTGATGCCGGGACACTTGACCATGACAGAAAGGCGATGGCAGGAAAACTAGGGTACACATGCTGTACAAAAGCATGGCAGCATCTGAGTCACAGACTCAGGCAGCAGAGCACGGCGTGACTGCGTGATCAGGCGGATAAGACTTGGCAGGGTGCTTTGAGTCGGCACGCCGCTGTGACAGCTGCCCAGACCATGCAGAGTTATGTTCTCTGTCACTCGCCAGAGATACTTTCTCAACAGCTATAAAATAAATGACTGGCATGGATGTGCTGAACGTGCCAGAATGTACCACTGTCTGTGCCTAGTTACCCAAACAATATCTAATGTAATCTAATGTAAGTCTACGATTTAGTGTTATCACAAGTTGTGGCAATCTAATGGTGGCATTTGCAGATCCAGCCTTAAAGTCTGATAAGAAATTACTGATACAGCACTGTAGTCAAACTAAGACAGCCTCTGAGTTCACTAACAGTGAGCACAGAAAGCCAGCCTTACTTAAGGTCATCATAATCATAATAAAGTGTTTCAGTTGACTCTCAGTAAAGCCTTAGATATTTACAAGGATTGTGTTATGATCTAAGTTAACCCAAGACTAATTGAGATCATCATTTATTGGGCAGTTTCTATTGGGAGGTGACTGTCCTAAAACCTAACCCCTATTTATTTATTTTTTTTCAAATTTTAAAGGTTTTTTTGTTTCATTTCTTTTAAACTAAAGTTAAACAATTTAGATTCACCATGAGTTACATTTATAAACTTAAAGATTAAAATAAGATTAACTTGTGAATGAATATGAATGTCCTATGTTTTTGTGTCACTACCAAAACACAAAGAGTTTTATTCCCTAGGTGGAGCCTTATTTTAGCCTCACCCCTGCATTTCAGAGCAGGAAGTGAGAGCTATAATTGAAACAAATTGGAACAGTCAGTTTAAAAGCATTATTGTTGTATTAATAGTGGCAATATAGTTAAATAAATAAATAAATAAAATAAACATAAGTAAGGCATAAGGTCAAAGGCAAAAGGATTTTTGTCCAAAGTCCAAGTCAGTTAAAAGTGTGAAATGTGTTTTCAACTCTAACTTTAAGCAAATTCAGCCAAATGGTCCATGTATGGTACAGTTTCTTTACTTTGCATACCATATATTCTTTTAATTTACCATTTTATTTGATCACATTTTACAGATTTTTTCTGATCAGACATATAAAAATGTTGATATGTAATATCTTTATCAAATCAGATTACCATGAAAAAATCCTCAGGTATTTCTGTCTATCCTTTACTGTGAGAAGACAACTCAACGCAAAGGGTCTGAAAGGATGTGTTGCTGTCAAGAAACTACTAATGAGAAAGTAAGAAAATACAAAAGAAAAGAACATTTGCACAAGAAACTGGACATCTGAGATAAAGAGTAAGGTTTTAAGGACTGATGAGTCTAAATTTAAGATCTCCAGAAGTGACAGAAGGCAGTGTGCATGCTGCCGAAGCAATTAAAGACTCTTCAATGTCTACAACCATCAGTCAAGCATGACTGAGGGTTTCTTAAATAATGATAAGTACAAAAAATGTAATACATCATGCAATATCATTAGAAATTAATTCTACAGCAAGATAATGACCCTAAACTTACTGCTGAGAAGATCAAGATGTACTTATCAAACAAAGAAGCTGCTGGTGTTCTCAGAACAATGGGCTGGCTGTCCCAGAACCCAGACCTTAACATCACTGAACGTGTGGGATTACATGGATCATGAGAAACAGAAAATGCAACCTTTCTTTAAAAAACTGAAACAAGTCTCCTGAAAAGAATGGAACCTATAATAAAAGCAAAGAGTGGACATACTGAAAATTTTGGTATTATATTTAGCTGGTGAGGCTTCAGTGTAATTTTCCATTAAATACATTTTCTGATTTTTTTCCTGATGCTGAAAAACGAATAACGTGTTAAACAGCCATTTCAACTGGATATTAAATAGGTGGGTGTATGTGTACTACATCAGAAATCTAGTAGTGTTCATGGCTACTAGAGCTCTGTACAGGGTGGCTTTCCCTCTACCATCCATTGTAATTGTGTCTGCCTGTTGAGTGTTAACTTGGTGGATCAGCTGGTAAGGATAAGGCGACTCTCACCCCACTCGGCCGTACAATACTCAGCCTTGTGCCGTATAATGAGAGCCTGTGTGCTCCATGACAGCACTGCCTCTCTCCCTCAGCACAACGGTCACAATAGTGAAAGAGACGATCCACTTTCACATGCTGTGGTCATTCAAACCCCCCCCCCCAGTGGCCTGAGAATGTTTCATGGTGGGCAGAATTTCATTGGTTTTGGTTGTTCATTTGATCAGTTGCCCTGACAATCCAGTGACTGTGCCTTCAGGAAAGCAATGCAGACATCTTAATTACACCAAACAGCAATAAAACTATGATTACTTTGTATGATTACCTTTTCTTTATTATCAGGATCATTAACCAATTTTTGGCTGCACCTGCAGACTTATGATAAGAGAGTTCAAAATGTGTTTTGAGGTCACTGTATGGGAATGCAAGCAGATTAATAAATGGCAATGCAGCAGGATGTAAAGCAGGTCATTTGCTTGGAGTGAAGCATTAGGGAAAGTACGGTAATTACTGGAGAGAGTTTAGTAACTGGATACCACCTTTGCAAAGGGATATACAGGACAGGTCAGCAGGTCCTTATAGCCCATTAGTTTACTACCTTTCACAAACCTTATTACAAAACTTTGTTTCTCCAAAGGGTTAGCTTTATAGGAGAAGGAAACACAAAGTTCTTAACTTTAACGCATGTTTTATTCCAAGTAACTTTGGACCATTCATCATAAAATGTTCTCATGACATAAAGGGCACTTAGCATTTGGGAATCATGTAAAAACAGTTGCAAGGTTTTAATAAGACAATGCTGCTATTCTCTTTCTAAAGTATTTGCTAATGTTTTGTGCATGCTCTAACTTATGTGAAGCTCCACTAGTGTACCTGCTGATCTGCTTTGAGATCAGGAACATTGTGTTCCCATTTTTGCAGATGGCCTTCCCTCTGAGCTCTTACTACACGCTGCAAGCCCACAGACACGCCTCCCCACTCTGCAGTTTGTCATAGGAAACCCTGCCTGCAGACTGTCTAACGTAGTGGGTCAACACTGCACAACTTCTGTCTGCAATGAACAAGTGGAGCACATTCTCTCTGACAAGCTTTGATATTGACATTACACCTTATTTGTGAAATGTTTACCCTTCCACAAGGGTGAAAATAGAAGGTGAGCCAAAAAAAACAACAAAAAACTTGTAATCATTTCATTTACATCAAAGCTGCCCAAGTCAACTGATGAAACCTCTTTTACAGTAACATTTATTTCTCTGTACAAGCAATGGATGGTAGGCAGATTTCATAGAGGTTTCCCTGCTATTTTGAGGGTCTCAGCTCAGGTTGCATTGCTTACCATTGGGCCAAAATGTCTAGGCACCCTTCTACTAGAGGCACAACCTACATTAAAAGCAGGCTCTCCATATAGGATCAACATGGACAGAGTACATGATCGGCCCTCGTGCAAAACGTGTAGCTGGAGGAACGCATGGAGGTTATATAACTGAGTGGGTGTGGAGCTCAGCTGGAGCTGTTTAGGGCCTGACACACACACACACACACAATCGCCTTGGTCCCTCCATTCAACGTTGTGTGCCACCAGCAGTCACTCAGGCTGCTCAACATGGCTGATGGTGGTCTTATCTCTTCACCGCATGACCAGTCTCATCTGGTTCAGTCTAGACCCACCTCTAGGTGATATGCTTTCCAATCTTCTCTGACTCATAATTCACTTTCAATCACAATTCCAGGTGTGTTTCCTTGTAAATTGTGTACTTTGAGACAGGCCATAGGGATGTCCTGCTGTGAAAATTAACAAAGCTTAGAATGAACAGACAAGTCACAAAATGAATCAAAGCACTCTGTTGTTGATTCATATTGCTTCAGACTGTGTAATGTAAGTCAGTATTGCATTCTTCTTGAAATTATGCAAAAAAACAACCCTAGTATTCTCAGTTAGTATATAATACAGGACTATTCTTAAGTACACTAATTTTTAAATTGTATTATTCAAATCCAACACAAGACATTGGCTCATATACTGCATTTTTCTTGTATTCCTGATGTGCACTTAAGACGTTCATGTGCATGTCATTCTCAGCACTGCAGTAACACTGACGTGGTGGTGGTGTGTTAGTGTGTGTTCCCCTGGTATGTGTGGATCAGACACAGCAGTGCTGCTGGCGTTTTTAAACACTGTGTCCACTCACTGTCCACTCTATTAGATACTCCTACCTTGTCAGTTCACCTTGTAGATGTAAAGTCAGAGACGATAGCTTATCTGCTGCTGCACAGTTTGTGTTGGTCATCCTCTAGTCCTCCCACCACCCAAATAGTACCTGCAGAAATGCTCCAAAGTGCTTGGAAAAAAAATCTGTTTCCATTAACTTCTATTCAAAGTTAAGAATGTTTTTTTCTTCTCCTGTAAAGTGAAAAGGGGGACATCATGAGCAACACTGGTGCATCTTCAGTAGCAGGTTTGAGTGCCCCTTATTCTTATTATCTATTCAAAAATAATTTGCACAATGCATCCTTAAAGTACATAATGCATTTCTAACATACTACTCCAAATACACTTAATGTAACAGTGATTTAACAGTCTGGTCAATATCCCCTAGTACACTTTGGTCATGTCACTCACGGATATTTTATTGATATTTTGTTATGTGCTCCTCAAGCTTACGCAGTTGAAACGTAGCTCTAACGAAACAGCAATACTGCTGTGTCCAAAAAGTCAAAGGTCAAAGTTGATTGTATTGAAGCATACGCAAATCAAAAGCATTTCCGATCAAAAATTAAGATAGGATGAAGCACATTTTGTTCATTTTTCTTTTATTTTAGTTTTTTCTCTCAAGGTCCAATTATTACATTTGTGTGGTTAAATGTACCAAAAATGGTCATAATTTATTGTTACATGACAATTTTCCAACCTCTCTTTATCCCTTAGAATTACACATGCTGTCTTTATTACTGTGTCTTTATATGTAATTTACCCCTGTTCTGATTGGCTATCCTGTATTGTCCCTCATTGAAAAAGCTTTCAGAGATGAAACACACCTTAGAGCTTCTCTATGAATGTGTGGGGCAGAACTGCTGTAGGCTGAGTAGGTGGATAGATGTAAATAAGTTGGTTCTTGTGACCTCACAGAAACAGCGGATTCAAAACGTGTTGTATTTGCAGCATAATTACCATATATGGACTGTGTGGACTGGGGAAAGTTAAACAGTGTTTACATACGACTTTAAATTAAAAAAACAAGAAAGTTTTCCAGTAAATTAACCTATTTCACTGAAAAACGCCACATATAATAAAATTTGCTTTCACAGGTACAACTGCTGTCCCTCCATGTGATTAATCCCATCTGCTGGACAAGGGCAGGACAATTGTCATGCACTCCACGTAACAGTCAGTCAGCAGTTCTACAATGCTGTAGTGGAGAAGTGGAGGCCTCAGTCGGGGATTCCACTTTAACTTAAGGTAATTGTCTCCTTTGAATCTAGTCATTTAACTGAACTGTAAATATATGGACCATTCTATCGAACTAGTTTAAACTGCGGTCCCATAGAAAAAAACACAATTTAAGAAACAATAAAGTATTCAGACTTCTGATATTGACAAGACTTTTGTTTATATAAAACCAAGGCATCAATATAGATAATATTAAACTAAATATATACATAATCATCATTTATAGGGTGCTTTCTATCGAGAGGTGGCTGTCTCAAACTCTAACCCCTAAATGTCTATTTATTTAAAAAACGTTATTGAAAAGCAATGCTATCCCACATTTTCATGTCTCTACCAAAACACAAAGAGTTTTAGTTCATAGGCCAGAGCCTTGTTTTAGCCACACGTTGCGTTTTAAAGCTGGAAGTGAGACTGCATCCCTGCCCCTGATGGCCACATGGGGAGGACTTAGATCCCTTTTTTTGACATAAATGTGTCCTAAAATCTGAAAATCAGCATGTAGCCTCCATAATTGTCACTAGTGAAATACATATTTTATGAAATTATGTAAACCTTTTCATGATTTTATGAAAAATATTATTATTCTATGTGCCTATATGTGCAAAGCTGTGTTTGCTAGTCATGTACTGGCTGGCATTTTTAAATTATGCTCAAAATTAGCTAAAATTAAAATAACCTACCAAAACATATGGTAAAGTTTTGTAAGGTATTTTATTATATTGCTATGGAAAGGACCGTCATTAATTTTAATAAATTAAATACATTTAAGGCATAGGGTCACTTAAAGCAAAAGGATTTGTCTAAAGTCTAAGTCAGTTAAAAATCTGAAATATGTTTTCAACTCTGAACCAATTCGGTAGAAAGATCCATACACGTTCTCTCTGAGAATGCAATCTATACAATAAATGTTCTCAGATTTGTGACTCCTGCACAAGACTCGTATGGATAGCGACGTGTCAGCTGTGAATATCAGACAAGGTACTTTGGTTTCTCCTAGGCTTGTCAAACACAGTATGACATATGGCACTGGCTGCTTGACAGTCATTCTAATTCTACTTATTTTTAGTGTCCAAGAATATCTGGCCCTTAAAAAGTGCACAGTCAGAAATAGCAACAGAATACATCCCATTGAAGGCTGGTTAATAGCAGTTGGGGGGATTAAATTAGTGATATTAACCAGTGACAACTGTGCTCTACCATTACTAAGCACAGCTGTCCAAAGCATGTTAATGCATATAAAGCATGATAAGAAACTAGGAAAGAGATTCTTTATTGCTTTTACTAAGATAAGCATTCAAACCCTTTTGAAAAAGGTTGAGTGCATCAGTTCAGTGTAATACTGGCCTGATTCACCACTGTGGGAATTTGGGCCAAGTAATCCCAGTATTAAAATGGTAACCTAGTTAGCATGTAAGTGGTGGCTTGCTCAAGCTGTGAGAAGCTTTTTCCCTTCTTTAGAAGAGAGGTTTTTAGAAGGGAACTAGCAAAAGAGGAAGCATCTGTCTGGGCTCAGTTAAAGAAAAAGGCCAGGCTCGCAGGACCTCCCCTTTTTGCAGGCTTTGAAAGCAAACTCTTACATAACCTTACTTTTGACAAAGGAAAAAAGAAGTGGTCGAACTCCCTGAACCCTGCAACAGCAGATAGAGCTTGAGGAGTGAATGAAGAACAAGTTGCTCTACTTTGTGTGGGACCATCCAGTTTTGGGAAGACTTTTGACATTGTCGAAGCCTGTTGATTTCAGTTTTTCTAATAGGAGACCTGTGCAATGAGCAGTGGGAAGACTATCAGTTGTGCTCCAATGCTGTCACACCCAACCATTGTCAATAGGAGCACTCCCAATATCCTGCTTGGCTATTATTCTTCAAAGGAACAAGTCACGCAAAGGTCTATCTGTTCTAAAGGTACTTATGAAAGCACTGCATTAGTCTTTCAGCAGAAATGTATTGCTGTGACAACATGTTCATTAAAGTATTACTGCATTGTAGTAAGTGTCTCCACAACCGTCTCTATGGCTCATAACTATTCTTAAGTTTTAAATGCTGGTTTCATAGAAAGGTGCTGGGTTTCTGCATGTGTCTCATTGCCAGTAGGTCACATTAAGACTTGCCCCCATTTTAGACCAACCAGAAAGCGGCTGCTGCACAAAAGCCAGCCAATGGCTAGAACCAAGTCTCAGGGGTTTGGTGAAGGAGTGTCTCTGAAACCTGAAGCCATGGATGATGTCACTGGGTTCAACTCTTGCAAAGCCACCAGCCGTCTATCTTCATGGTCATACTGATCCAAATCCCATACTGGAGCCCATAAATGGGCCTATTCCACACCATGTCAGTAAACAGAGACTTTGGACGCTACACGCCGTAAAATTAAAAGTACAGTGCAGGGAAGCAATTCCTGCTTTTGTAACTGTGCTGTGAAAAAATATTTGCCCCTCAAGATTCAATGTATTTTTGCATATTTGCCACACTTTCAGATGGTTTCAGATCCTCATAGAAAATGTAATAGAGGATAGCCAAGGAGATCATGAGGGAAGTTTTTACATTAAATTAAATTAATTACATTAAATCACCCATATGAAAAAGTAATTGCCCCCTAAACTTAATAACTGATCGCGTCATCTTTAGCAGCAACAACCACAACTAAACAAATCCTCCAACTGGCGTCTTTCACATCGCTTTGGAGGTAGTTCTGTGTACTCTTCTTTGCAGAACTGGTTTAATTCAGCCGGAATTACGTAGGTCCATCCTTCTGGCCACCCTAGTTAAGGAAAGTGAGACAGCCACCCATCATTAACAAAGCATCAATTATACTTTATTGTGAAAATCTGCCATCAGGGTAGTTACCAATCAGTTAGGAGAATCTGCTGACACAGCATTTTATAATTAGTGTTTCTTGCTGTGATAGGCTAATTTACTCAGCAAACAGGTGAGTGCATGTGCACTGGGTCCCTTCAGCAGTGCAGCTCTGTGAACTACAATAATTCACAGAAATAGGCTATTCAATGATAAGAGGCATTAACCTTTAAAAATGAGTCAGCCATAATCATTTATAATCCTAATTTCTTTTATAATTGAAAAAAGCATAATTTGTTTGTTGAATGTTACCGTATACAGTGTTGTCTGGCTAGCTTTCTAATTGTCAGACTCATGTGAAACTTGTAGTGAATGCAAATGTAAATAAATGATAACTTCCATGGCCTGTCTATATTTTAACTTTCAAAGTTAACATTGTGCACTGAAAATATGAGGCATTAATTTACTTGATTCACTCATCTAATACATTTCCTAAAATGACTAAAATATATTACATCACCATATTTTGTCTTTCAGTTTGCTTTTGTCAATAGTTATATAGATGTTATATTTTATTCAGGTGGAAATGATGGAAAGATTTAGGTATGTACAGAGAAAAAATGCATTCATTTCTGTGTCATTTTATTACATGCACACTTGAATTTATTTAGGGTTTTTTCTTAGTAGTGTGCCATCCCAAAAAAATGCCTCTGCTTTGTCTAATATTACATTTCATTTGAAGGAGGAGAATCAGGAGGAGGCAAATACTTTTTCATGGCTGTGTATTCCATTAATTAATATAATTACTGGCTGTTACAGGCTTCTGGGTTTCAGTATACTTGGAAGCAGCCACCGGGCTCTACTTCACATCAACTGATGAACTGTAGTTACCTCATACGTTTTCAAGCATAGTTTGCACTGCTGAGCAAACGAATGCCTGAAGCTCAAGCTTGCACTGCTAGGCAGACAACTGTAAAAGGCCCCCTGCCAGTTAAAGATTCACTTGTGATGAATATTGGTGACTTGTGGTGGCATCTAGTCTTTTGAGGCCACTCTGGGCAGTATACAGAAGCCTACTATCTCTGAGTACACCTCTTAAGAGATGAGTTATTTGTATTATTATCTTGTTACACAGCACGTGTCAAAGTACTAAGGAAAGCACATCTTGATTTAGTGCTGTGTGATTTGGCCTCAGGCTGTCCTCATGACTTCATTAACTCACCTTATGTGGATCTCTCACCTCTTTGCGACACAAACTCAGCTGTTCTTATCTTAAAGCACTGCACAAAGTCCTTCTGTATGTTCAGAGCCTCAGGCATTTCTTTCAAAGTCCACTGGTTCAGTCCAGCACCAGCTACTAACTCAACACTTCATGTAACAGAGTTTGGTCGTGCTTATGTTTTAAAAACTGGTAAACACTGAATCACAGAATATTACAGCTTTTGATTAACATACCAAAAGCCTCTGGGGTTTTCTTTTCTGCAATGCACTTCATTTCATCAAGTTTTACTGGGCCTGCACGATTCTTGATTAAATGCTCAGTGTTGAGATCATGATTCTCACTTGGTGTTCTCGGTGTTTTTCAGCATACCAATTTTAAAAGATAAAAAGTTTCTTTTTAATAGAAAATAAGGTGACTTTTTTTGCACATTTTAGTGCACAATTGGCTTTAACATATTGAAAAAAATAAAACATAAAATATAAGATGCACCATAACATTTGCACAGGCCACATTTGATGTTTTATTTTTTCCCTCAGTATGTTAAATTCAGCAAATAAACAGCGACTGTGCATTAAAATGAGCAGAAGTATGTTCTCTTTAGAGGACATGTATTATGGCAAATTAAAATCATTACGCTCTACACATCATTCCTGAATTTGCAAGGTACAGTCCAATCGACTACACCCAAGCTCCATTTTACTTTCTCAGCCATTCAATGACTGTTATCCACTATTGCTTATGCCTTCAGTTTATCAGTGAAGCAGTGTCTGAGTTTAAAGCTCCAGCTGCAGTCAAACGATGTACCTAGGTGACCTATAATAATAGAAAGAACTGATTGTTTTTTGTTTTTTTTTTTACTTCAAAGCCCAAAACAAATTTTTAAATTGTCATTGTCATCAGTCTCATCAGTCTGCAAATTTGGTACTTACAATGTTCTTTTACCACAAAAGTTAAAATGAGCTCTGTCAAAATGTCTAAGCAAACATCTGCATCATTGCATTAAGCCGTCAAAGGTAAGCAATGAATGGCCCATAAACATTTTTCATGCCTGTCATAGCAGAATGCTTTAGCTAAGTATGACTCGGTTTTGTTTGCTCTGTTGTTTTTCC